TTTTTTATATATAGTAGGATAACTAATACGAATGCTAATCGATGCTAATTTTCCCCTGCACCATTTCTGATGAACAACTCAATAACCAGTAAAAAAAACCAAAAAAAGAGAGTTTATTGTTGAAAAAATATGTTACGTTCCAGGAAAATGTAAGCGAACACTTTTCTATAATTAGTTTGCATTGCAGCGCTGGCGTTTATCTGTCTATATTTTCAGTTTCCCGTATTCGAATTGTTTTGAATGACGCTATTCTCTGCTTCCGTGTCCCGAAAAAGCCCGCGAGTCTAAAGCTCCTTCCCTGATGTTCAAGCGGTCGGGCGGATGTGGGCAAAAAAAGGTGTTTCGCCGCAAATACACCCAAGTTTTTAACTTAGCAGATCAATCTTACAGCGGCGCTTTGTGTAAAATATCCTTTTTTTCTAGAATCAAGCCGTAAGAGTCGAAAATGCGACTCAATAGGCTTCGATGTTGGCGCCTTCTCGTAGTTAAAGTTATTAAAAGCCAACTATTTGGGGTGTTTTTCGAGGGCAAAAATGCAAACAGTTTTAGAATGTTAATTAATATTTTTTTGAAGCATATTGATTAGGCCATTTTTATAAAACTTCATTGCTAACGTCAGTTACGTTAAATGTTCTGAGGTAGTGAACCAAACTGAATTCGGGCCAAAAAATGTTTCGGACATTTCAAAATTGTGCAACATTTTTTTATCGACTGTTATCATGTTTAACTAAAATTAACTAAACTAAATTAGCCGATTTTTAATCAAATTTCACTTGATACCGGCAGTAATAATAGTCTATTTTATATACAACCAAAGTAAGTAGATCTAGTTGTAGTAGATCCAGAAATGTTACAGAAAAATGTTGCCAACATCTCTGAATTTATCCGAATATCCATTCAATTACTTTGGTGTAGAATAATAGAAATTAATGAAAAATTACCTAATTAATGTGCGTTGAATTAAAAAAATTATCTAAGTAATTCGTGTGCAGGAAATTTTTGAAAAATACGTTTCCTATTTTCGTAAAAAGAACGTGCGCCCCGGGTTTTGCTTCTTGATGGCCGAATCTGGGCATCCGGGCTTGGCCAGGCGCCCCAGGGGACCGGCCACGTCTTTGCCTTTAAGAAACGATAGAGTTGGAGAGAGAGAGAGAGAGAGAGAGAGATGTCTCTACCCCTTAAAGAGGGGTTTACACTACCCCTTCCCCCTTGCTTCTGCCCATCCCCCTAAGGGCTAGAGAGAGAGAGATAGAGAGAGAGAGAGAGAGAGAGAGGGGAGAGAGAGAGAGAGACGGACTCCTAACTTCAAATGCCCCCCTCTGGGCCCCAACTTTTCCCACCCTGAAACGCCACACACACATTGGACATTCGGCCCTTTTGCGGATGGGCTGACTACGCTACGCTCCAAATTACGGGGCCGTTTAGGGCTATTAAAGGGACTGGGAAGGATATAAGCGAATTTCAGTTCATCCACGTTAATTCATGTTTTTATTGGAGGCGCTTTCCGCATTATTCACTGACTAAATGAATATTTTTGCTTCTCGGACCCATCTTTTGTTGAAACATAACTATCAAAGCGCTACTTGTTTAGCTCCGCTACGCTCCAAATTACGGGCTGTTTAGAGCCCTCAAAGGGACTGTGCATTAATTATATGGACTATTTTTAGCTCATCTCCGTTAATTGGTGTTCTTACCAAAGTCCCGCCTTAAATGCCAACACGATTAAATAAAGTTTTTTTCCTACCAAGTTGATTTTTTGTTGAAACATAATATTTAGTTCAGCATAACAAATGGTTTGACTACGCTACGCGCCAACTTACGGACTGTTTATGGCACTTATAGGGACTGGGAAGTGACTACGCGGTTTTTAATCCGTATTTGTATGTTTTTCGAACATCCAGCGATTAACGAACGCCTATTCTTAAACGTCTATTAAATCAATATTTTTCCTCTCAAACTCATTTTTTGTCGAAACATGCTGGTTATATCGTGACTCGTTTCAATACATTACGCTGCAAAGTGAAGTCGGTTTAGGGCTATTATCCTATTTAATATTATCTGCCTCATCCTTTTTATAGCCTTCCTAAGCCTTCGCTGATTCTGAACTTCAAATAAAAAAATTTGGGCTCCTTGCTACGCTACGGTCCAAAGAGTAAAAGTATAAGAACTCAGTATGGTCCAACCCGAATATATGCACAAAACTCAACACGAAAAAATCGGCCCGGAACAAATTTTCCGAGTATGTAACAAAGCTGAAACATTTTTTTGTTACTTTTTTTTTGGTACTTTTGACCGTACTTTTAAGCCAATTTTTTATAAAGACCGAGTCCAAGTTGCTGCTCCGCTTAACTTCCCATGAAAAAAGCATGAGTTTTTGGAGGGGATGGTCCCCATGGACCCTTTGCCCTTCCCCTACTCCTTCCCTTTCACCCTCCTTAATCACCGCCCGGAATCGCCGTCCAGCCTTTTTGCTTTCTCTCCACGCTTTCACCCCCTGTGGTCCACCCTTTACCTAAAGCTCTTTTTTTCTTATTTTCCTGCCCATGGCATCTTTCTCCTCGGCTTTGTTCCCTTAACCTTAATTTCCGGCCCGTCTGGACAGAAAACCCAGTTGTTTTCGAGCTCGAAAAAGAATGTTGCAACTTTTTGTCGAGGAGCTGAGCGGAAATTCAATCCAATCCGTCGTGCTTCTAGTTAAACCGTAACAACGAATTCTATAAAATTTAAATTAGCTTTTTCAGATAAGTAAAATAGATTTCAGTTGGGGTTAGAGTTTCAAAACAATGTTGCAATTTTTGTGGGGTTTTTGGGTGGGAGTTTTGATGCAATACAGCTTTCCTCGAGTCGTAATACCGAATTAAGAATAAGGTCGAGTTGACTGAAAATAGAGGTTTTCAATTTTGTAGCATTGCAAAAGGGTGTTGCACGTTTTTACGTGCGGATCGTTAGTTATTATGATTCCAATCTCGTTTGTATCGTACCCTTTTTTGCAAAAAAATGTGATTCTGGAGCACGCAATAGATGGCAGTACCGCGAATTGTTAGTAACGCCTTGAGTAGTCCTAATTCCGCAAGTTGGGCGACAAGTTTAAGCAGTTTTTCGGTTCCAAAAGTCGCAAAAAAATGTTGCAAAGTTTTGAGCTACAGTCGGAACAAAATTAGGTGCAATGCCACTAGATGCAAATGCACCCCGACCTAAAAAATATGAAAGGAAACTGGGGTTTTGTTTGTGCATTAATGTAGCTTTTTAGACGATTTAATGAGCTAATACTTACAAGTTGATACACTTTAATTTAGTATGCAAATTTTCAGTCCCGCTGAGTCCAAACCATTTTAAAGAGTTTTCGTTCAAATGTTTCAAAAATTTAACTGCCGGATGGCAACTATTTTTCTGTAGTATCATGACCGTTCAAAGTTTTCCTTAATAATGCCTCCCACCACCTCATCAACCTATGCGATGGAGGTGTGGGGGTGTATGTTGGGAGGTGTAATCGGAAACCCAAAAGCCGTTTTTTCTGCGCCATTCGAGGTGCGGGCGGGCCGCAACGGCCTTTTCACGTCGCAAATCCATTTTCCAGACTTTCCCGCCGGAATTTTCTGCATCTTTAAAGGGGCCGGCAGGCTTGGGTTCTTATGGATTTTTTCCGCACGCACGCCCGCTCATCCAATTCGTAATTGATTACGATAGCCAAAATGACGACTATCAAATCGAGATCCAAAAAATCCATCGCCTTGCCTTCTTTGTCACTTTAGAGGGAGCGGGAGGGACATTTTTCAAAGTTTATAATATGGTTTAAATCGAAGAACTGAAAAACCCTAGGTTTTTAAAAAATATCGTTGTTAAACAAATTATATGCACACTAAAAATTATTTGAATATGCTGGTTCTTTCCTCCTTCCCGGAATTTCATGGCTAATAGATTTTCTATCTTATTTTGTCGATTAATAAACGTTTTTGAAAGTTTAGATCTGAAAAATATTTTTATTTTGATAGAAATTTAAAACCCCGATTAGCGCCAAAGTATCGCGATGAAAGAGGAAATTCTTTGAAACATTTTTTTCAGAACTCTTGAGAGATTTTTTAGACAATATGTGTTTTAAACATGCTCAATATATAGAAAATATCTTTCTCCACTATTCGATCAAAATTCCTGTTCCTTGAATCTGACTTTATATCTTATCTACTTCATCCCAAAAATTTGACTTTTTGAAGTTTGAGGCCAAATCGCCCCCATTCAGCTGGCACTTTTAAATATTTCAAGCACCGCTTTTTAAATATTTTCAAACGTGTCGCCTTCCAGACGGCCGGCAGACAATAGGCAACGAGGAAAAACGCACTTTTTCTAGACTTCCATCCCGAAAAAGACTGTTAAGGGCACAAAGCCCCCCAAAAATGGGCACGCGGCCATTTTTGATGAGCAGTAGGGGGAGGAGAGGCTTAGGCTTTGCTTGGGCTTAGCTTAGGCTTGGCTAAGACTTGGCTTAGGCTTGGCTTAGGTTTAGCTTAACCTAGGCTTTACTTCGGCTTAGCTTTTCCGTGCCTGTTCCTTTAAAAAAATCAGTTAGGAAACATCAGCCGAAATTTTAAATGTTCTAAATTACTTGACAACTACTAAAAAATCTGATTCTTTGATCTTTAAATCTTTAAATTTCTACAGCTAATAGAAAAATTAGAAAAACGTATATTGCCATTTCTATTTTACGATTATCTATATATTTATATTTTGTTATATCTATTTATTAATTCTTATACTACAATTCCTATAATTCTATAAATGATTGCTACATGAATAAATACATTATTCCATTTTCCCTGCTCTCGCTTTTTAATTTTTCCGAAACACTTAATTTTCGCCTTTTTTCAGGCGATGCCCTCGGGCCTGTAGCTGCTCGTGTGGAAATTCTACCGTATCCCCCTGCTCAACCCTGTCGGCTATATTTTTCCTATATTTCCCCGCTGCCTTTTTGCTGATTTTTGCCTCGGAAATTCGGGTTTCGGAAGATGACCTCATCGTCGGAGGGTGAGATCCTGCAGGTCAGCCAGGTCATCCGCGATAGATGGAAAGTGGTGGGTTATTTAAATCGTATTTTATATTCAGTTAATTTATAATTTATGTAATAAAAGCGAAAACTCAACAAAGCTTTTTTTAAAAATTCAGCAATCCGCATTGAAAATTGATGTTTTATAAAACTTAATGAGGTTTTTAGCGGGTGAGTAATACTTTCGATCGGCCCTCGAAACTGACAATTTAGTTTTATTTTTGAAAATGGTATAGAATATAAATAACAGTTACAATTTTATACATTGCAAGACTTAATCTTTTTTAAATTTCACAATAACTAGCAAAAATTTCCAATAAAAAACTTGTTTCATAAAATGATGAATTCTGGCGAAATTAAACAATATCAGTGTGACTTCAGCTACTCGAACTAATCATACCGCTTTTCAGAAATCAAAAGTGGGCGGCGGCGGCTTCGGCGAGATCTACGAGGCCACCGATTTGCAGGTGATTATTCGTATTAAACGTAGTACGATGGATAAAAATTAATTGTGTACTTTTTCCATACAGATATTTCTAATAGGGCACGCTAAATGCTTGTTTACATCCCTATAGAAAATTTGAAAAATTTTAAACCAATTTCTAGAGGAATGATTTCTGGGGGTAAAAATACTTGTTTCATTCAAAAAACATATAATTTAGAAACAATTTCCAAGCAATGTATGAACACAATGTATCGAGCCAAAATCAGAATTTAAATTTAATTTGTAAAATTTTTAAAGACCATAGCGCAAAAAAATCTATTTTAATAATACTTAGAAAGGTATTCAGCCTGTAAGTAGTATCTACACACTCACTTTTTGTTTTATTAATCCCCGCATTGTAGAACCACAACGAGCGGGTGGCGATCAAGGTCGAGTCGTCCAAGGCGACGAAGCAGGTGCTCAAGATGGAGGTGGCCGTGCTCAGACGGTTACAGGGTACGTTCAATTTTTATTTTTTAACGATTAATTTTGTGGAATTTTATGATGTTTCAAAACAGGATTTTTCTGCAAAAGAACTGAGTTTTTTTACGGTAACTTCTCAAATTCCACATTTTCTAGACGTTCGTCTGACCGGAGCTTTTACCTGAGCACGAGCCTTTTTATTGATTTTTTTTTGGGGGGAGCTGCCGACAGACGGATCACATTCCCCGGGGTCGACCGGAAAACAAAAAGTAGAACTGGGGCGTCGTCTAGGTCTGGCCGGTTCAAGAAGGAAAGAATATAGGGAAACAAACAAAAATTAAAGCAGTGGATTAACGATATTGATTAATAAAAAGAGTAAATGTAAAATATGGAAGCATTAACGTGCACTAATGCTATAGTTGAAATATCACCGCAAACAATACTGGAAAAACATTATAAATTGAATTTTCAAAAAAAATGTGTCATGACAGCACCTCGATAAAATTTTTGTGCCGTGGTCATTCAAATGTTCTTTGCAATCCTCAAGGAAATAAAATCATTGGAATCAATTAGACTAAAAATTAATGAAAGAATCTGGAAATCGAATCACGAAAAAATGTTTCGAAAGCGATACTTTCAAAAATTTCTGAGGCTTCAATGCAATTCGGATGATCCAAAAACTAACAAATTTAAAATTCTCGTACACAAATAAACAAAATAATAACAAATTAAACCCCACTGCTCCAGGCAAAAAACACGCGTGCAAATTCTACGGGTGCGGCCGCAACGACAAGTTCAACTACCTCGTCATGAGCCTACAGGTTGTATTTTTTGCTTTGCTTGTAAAAATTGTGAAAATTCAATGTTTCCCAACGTTTCAAGGCCAAATATCGAGAAATTTGCTGAATCCAAGCGCAGTTGTAAGCGGCAAAAATTCGAACTGGAATTTGAAAATTGTGTTTCATCAAAAATTAACCGAACGCTAATTTTGCAAAATGCTAAACCAAATATAATTACTATTTAATCGTTCGAATTTGTTTCATCTAATTTTAAAAAAGGACGTTTATTTCGATGGCTGAGGGAGCAGAAGCTTCGAAGAATTTTTGGAAAGACTGTGTTCCATGAAAAATTAAAAATAAATAGACGGTGACTGTTGATAATTTGATCCCCATACCAATATATGATAATTAGGCCCGCATATCAAAAAAATTGTTTTGTCCAGGCTATAAAAATTCTAAAGAATTGAAAAATAAATACATCTATTAAAGCAAAAGCGACAATGCATCTATCTTCAATCTTAAAATAAATAAGGAAACTTTGTCTGAATTTAATAATTAAAACAAAAAATTTCAGGGTAAAAATCTGGCCGATTTGCGGCGTGAGGCACCGAAGCAGTGCTTTTCCCTCTCCACAGCCGTTAGGTACGGATTTTCATTTACATTAAACAAATTCTGCTAATTAAATAGCTATAAAAATAAATTTATAGCCATTTAAATTATAAAATCTGGTGCATTTAAAACTCAGAAGATTGGAATTAAATTGTTTCAAATATTCCCTTATAGAGTGGCAATCCAAATCCTGACAGCCATCCGGGAGATCCACTCCATCGGCTTCTTGCACCGTGACATCAAGCCGGTAAGGGATTAAATTGATATCGTCGCAAACCGAGAACTAATATTGATACTGTAGCACTTACAGTACCCTGCTCTCCCTTAACACATATTTTTCCCATATTTTATTAGTAATTTAATCGCAAGGTTTTTAATACTGTGTTTAGCGCAGTTTAACTATATTCTCAGTGAAAAAACTAACAAAAAAAATTATACAATTAAAATTCGAAATTTCGGTGAAAAACCGTTCATTTCCTGTCGAAAAACCACATTTTTGTATTTTTTTTCTACAAATGGTGGACCGTTAGAAACACTTCCTCTATCCATATTAAGAAAAATGGGTAGTGGGAGAAAATATAGTGGGGAAAAGATGTTTCGAGCCCGCGCTAGGCCTAGCTGGTGAAACTAGGCGGAATTTAGAGCATCTCGTGTTCTTGGAAATTCTAAATATTTTTGACATTGTTTATTTTTTAAAAATACAATTACGTACTTTTTCATCAATTCATTGCCTTTGGATTTTCGCAGTAATTTTCCATTTCTTTTTCGGGTTTAAAAAATGTTTAAACGCAGAGAGTTTAAAATAGCTTATTTAGAATCTGAATATCAAAAACCGTCGCTGTAGAATATGAGTATAAATTAAATAGATATCTCTTTTAACTCTTTTAATGTTGTTGTATAATATAGACAGCTAATAAGAACAATAACTTTACCGGCGGTGTTTTGGCTAAAAAAATATGTTTCAATAAGGATCCCAAAACCGGATTTCGGAGTTAAAACCTAATTGGTTTCTTTTTTGTTGGTCATTGTTTACAACGATCAAAACTTACCTATTAAACTTCTTTGATGTTTTTATATATTTATTTACATACCGATTTCAGTCGAACTTTGCGATGGGCCGAACCACGGTGACGATGCGCAGCGTGTACATGCTCGATTTCGGGTTGGCACGTCAGTATTTGAATGCCAAGGGAGAGATCAGGTAACGGGGCTTAACACATTGCTATAAAATAAATTTTGCTGTCTACAAAATTTTGGAGTTACATTAATGTCATTTAATCAAAAACAACGAAAGTGAAATTAAAATCACTTAAAATTACATTTTATAAAATATGTTTCATGATCGGGATAAAACACAAACAAAAATAATTGCTCTGTTAGACAGATTAAAAACAAAAGGACGAGAGAGAGCGAGTGAGAGAGAAAGAGAGAGAGAGAGAGAGAGATTGAGAGAGTGAGAGCGAGAGAGAGATAGCGAGAGAGTGAGAGAGAGAGGGCGAGCGAATCCATGAATTTCAGAAGTCCCCGCTCGGCTGCCGGCTTCCGAGGAACCGTACGTTACGCCGCGGTTTCTGCTCATAAAAATAAGGTACAAACTACCCGATTTTTGAAAAAAATTTTGCAAATCTACAAATTTTTATGTAGCATCAATTTTCGAGGTCCCAGAGTTATCATTTATCTAGATATCGAATGGTTCCAAAATTTATCCTGGAATTTTGAAGGATTTGGGGGGAAAATTTGTCGGTTAGCGAACCTTTTCAAATGTAATAGATTTTATACAACTTTTATCTAAATTTGACACTATATTATTGTTATTTTTACTTTCTCAATCACTTTCTGTTAATAATAATGGCCTTTTATATGTCTAATTTGAAAGTATGTTTCATGTATTTTCTAGGAAATGGGGCGCCAGGACGATCTCTGGTCCCTCTTCTACATGCTCACCGAATTCCTGGAGGGCCAGCTGCCGTGGCGAAAGATCAAGGATAAGGACGAGGTACGGTGCTTTTATTGGTATTTCATAATTAAAATAACTAAAAAATTATATAAATACTAAATTTAAAAAATTTTTAAAAACGGAAAACACAGATCTTGCGGTCTGAAAATTAGCCACTGTCTTCCTTTGCCCCACCTTAAAATTCTTAAAACATTTTTCCTACAAAGTTTTTGTTGCGTAAAAGTTTATTACGAATAATTCCGTTTCGTGACTATATAAAAATCATGGCTAAAAGCTCCGAAAACAAACATCTAAAACGAGTGCAACGCAAAATTTAAAATTCGGAAATCTAGAAAAAAATCATGTTTCACGCAAAAATATTAATGAAACCAAGCCTTTTTTTCGTATTAGTCCGGTGGTTCAATGTGAATTTTGCAAATTTTATGACTGTGCGAATCCAACGTCTATCATCTTTATCGAACCTACAGCGGATCGGAAAAATCGTTGGGAATTAAAAATATGTTCCATCCAGGATTGCGACTACAGCAAAATATAACTCTTTAATATTCCTTCGTAATCTGGCAATGAGACTATAAATCCAACCAATTTAAATAGGCCCACTTCAGGAATTAAATTAGTCGATTTATATTTTACAGGTCGGCCGCATGAAGGAAAATGTGGACCTGGTGATTCTGTTAGAAGAATGCCCGGAGGAGCTGCACGATTTTGCTGCCCATTTAAAGGTGAGGAGAACGAGATTCTGGCTTACTTTAATCTAATTATCTTTATGTTTATTTTAAAAAAAATTATTTTGGGAACACGAGACAGGAACCATAATCATAGATAGCTTCGAAAATAGGTTTCATAAAAGTGGATCCCATCTCGTTTTTGGAACTGTCAATTTTAAGTGGCTTCACATCTCGCTAAAAATTCATTATATTTATTTATAATTCGATGATTAAAAGAGCATTTCTGTTTTCTCTTTATGAAAATGTTTAAGAAAGAAATGTTTGGTATGTTTCAGACCCTCGGCTACCCGGACACGCCCGATTACGAGTACCTGGAGCGGTTGTTGACGCAAATTATGGTCAAGTTGGTTTTATAGCAATTCTAAGGTTTTAGTTTTCTACAAAGCTTAACTTAATAAGCAGCATTTTTATAATTTAAATTGAATTAAATTTGTTTCTAGCATTTTTTATTCAAAAACGGTTAGATATATTGATTTTGTCCATAAAGCTTTTGTGTTGTGCTAATTTTAATTTAATTCAAATATTTCTCAACTTTAGAAACGAAATAAATTGGGACGACCCGTACGACTGGGAGCTGGGCTATGAAAATCTGACCGGGCGCTCCAAGCAGAATGGTATGTTTCAACAAAATAATAGGTTCCAGAATTTTAAAAGGTATAGGCTTGCTACGACCTACGGTTCATTCAAATTTAATTAAATCGATTTATAATTAATTAATTAATTTCCACTGCGCGAAATTCATTAGTTAAACCTTATTTAAGTTTTTTCCGACTGATGTAAGGCAGATCCATCGAAAATCCGTTTTGAAAAACAAAGAACACTTTGTCGTGCTTTTTTGACGAATTTCATAGCAAACAGACAGAGAAAGCGGTATTCCTAATTAAATAATACCCGTCTACCGATCCGTGCGCTTTTTTACAACACACTTTTCAAAAAAATTCTGGTAATAATGTGAAATTTCAGGCAACTCTTCCCGGCTGAAATCTCATACCACAGCCGTGATTCGCGACAGATTTGAGGAGCGCAACAAGTGGGTTTATTTATTGAAAATGAAATTAAATTGCTGTAAATTCTAATTAGTAAAACATATTTTTTCTGAAAAAACTACTATAAAAATATCTAAACTTTAAATGGTGTTTTTCAGAAATCTCGACACCCAGGCGCCAATTACGATGGGCGAGGACGAGGATGAGCAGACGAACGGACAGGTTGGTTCAATGGCTCCATAATTCGTTTAATTCTAGCCTTTAACACTAAACGATACCTTAAAATTTACATTAATTTAAATTATTTAAATCATGACGTCGAGCCATTTATCGAAAACATAATTTTCTTAACCCAAAACTGCAAACCTTGATTTTTGACCAAAAGATGCATAGTATTTAAAGTATTTCCATCCTGCCCATTAAATAGTTCGATGCCCGCCTTTTGTGGTTTTTTCGCAACACATTCTTTTGTTATCTGAAAAAATACCAGCATTTACAAACGATACAGGTCTCAGATCTATTAATTGTCAATCGAAATCACGGCTTTTTCAATATGCATAAAACACATATTTTCCAGTGCCCTAACATCCACCCGCTCGGCCAGGACTCGCAGCAAACCCAGGAGAAACCCAAGTACAAGCGCCACGAATTCATGAAGTGGGTTTATTTTGAGGGCTTTATGCTTTCGATTATGCTTGTGTATATTTACCATAAAAAAACCTAGGCATCGAGAAGGAAAAAATTCAGAAAAATGATAAAAAAATATTCAGCAAAAACCGTGAAAAATATGCGTTTCAAAAATTTGCCAAAATTCTAATTTTTGAGCAATGTTAATGGTCCCGCGGGCACGTAAGCATTAAATTTTAGCAAATTCAAAATATTTACCGTAATTTTAATTTGATAATTCTAATAATAGATGCCCAGAAAGGTAACAAAGCCCCAAATTGTTGTTTAAAAAGTTTGTGTCAGCGCTTTTCAAGCTATAGGGACCCGAATTAGGGTCAATCGGCTTTTCGGCATCTAAGTTTAAATTCAATTGGTCTACCAGATTTTAGTAAAATTAAATCTGATCGAAATTATTTTAGTAAGGTTTTAGGTTTACACGGGTACGTATTAACTGTAATTTTTAATAAATATTTAAAACGATTTGTCTATAAAATTAAAAAAAAAATTGTTTCAACGATTTTTAAAAAGTTGGTTTTACTTTTGCATATTATTGTACTCCACAAATCGTATTTACCAGCAGGCTGTGTTGTTGGGTGTAGTGCCGCGGAAAACGGATACGGTAACCTTACTTGCTACTTTTCTCATACTTCTAGCATCAACTACTATCTCATATTTGCACCATTTTTTGGCCCTCGACCGTAATCTGTAGCTTCTTACGACCATTTATGTTGGCTCTATTTTTAATATGATTTTTACAATTTGATTTTTCGAATTTAAGGCCAAAATGCGGGACGGCCGTCAACTTGGACGTGTTCGACGCGGTGAACGCGAGATTGGCAGCCGCCGATGATGGATTTGCGAATCATGACGTCGAGGTGGGAATAGTCATTTTTTAATGCATTTTTATTAAATAGTGTTTTTTATTTTTTTAAGTAAATGCAACTCTTTAAAAACAAAAATACATGAATAACCTTAAAATATAGTTTAATTAGATAATTGTAATCTTTATTAACAAGACGGTACTGGCCTGTTAGCGGGGGGGGGGTTAGCTAGCCAATACCTACCACATGCAAATTCTCAACGTTTTTTTGTATTTTTGTAGGATATAGACAAAGACAAATAGACAAAATCATTTTTTATTTTAAAAATTCTCAATTCTTCACATTTTTACCATTAAAAGCAGGTTTCTTGCACATTATTGAATGAGATGGCATTAAATCGAAGGTACAAGCGGCAAAAAAATAACATGTTTCATAAAATCAAATGAAGTCGCCCTAACACTTCAAAGTAATCGGTCTTCGGCGTCGAGACACGTAATAAAATACATCGACGGTATGAATCTCTTTTGGCAGATTTCTGGGTTTTTTTTTTAGTTTCAAATCACCTGCAAACGCTCTGAAATCGTAGAAATCAAAGCTAAAAAAATGTTTTATCAAAACCGCTAGTTCGCCAGAACTTAACTACACCATTCAAATCCCTATCCGCTCGCGTAATTTTGGCTGCCAACACCATAATCTGCGGTATAAGGCAACAAACAGCCAATTTCTGAATTGATAGAATTTTTTTTTGATTGGGCTCCAAGAAACACTTGTTTTTTGCAAGAGCCTGGCGATTTCTAAAAAAAAGGCTTAGGAAAAAGTGATTAAATATTTTTTGTATTCTTTCCTCGCCATGCATAGTTTTACAAACAAAATTGTTCATGAAACTCCCAACTTTCAGGCGAATTTCAACCTGCCGTGCTCGATGCTGAACAGACCGCACGTCGTCGAGACGTCCACCAGCATCAAGCGGCCGCCCACCGTGAAAACGGTATGTTTCGGGGGAAATTGGTGTTATGATTTCGGGGTCTAGGAGCAATAGACGATTTTGAGGCGTATGATCGTTCTGGTGCATTATCGGGGGGAGGAGGCGACTCTTTTGGGATAAAAACACAAAAATTCCTAGAAACGCAATGCAGATATTTTAAAGTATTTGAGTGTTTTAATACCTATTTAAAATTTGGAAAAATTAAAAATTAAATCCTTAATTTTAGAATTTGACAATACTTTATTGGAACTTTCAGAAGCTGGTAAAAAACTTGAAAAACCCTGATTTGGTGGAAAATCGGTCATTTTTCGAAAACTCTAGAATTTTGAGTTTCTAAGTAAAAATTGTAAGGTTTCTCACTCTAGATTAGTAAGAAACAGATTAGAAACTGTTCCTCAAACGTTATAAGAAAAGTTTGAAACAAGAAGCCAAAGAAAACTTTTAGGAAACTGACCGTCAACCCGATACAAAAATATGTTTTACGAAAATTAAATACAAAATAATTTCCTTTCGAAAAATTTTAGCCATTACTCAAACGAAATAAATTTCAGGTGATCCAAACGCAAAACAGCGTCGACGGCAAGCAGCAGAAAAGCCAGAAAAGCATCACGGTATGATTTTAAAATGAACTACTGTAGAAAACTAAAAATACAGTTAAAAATACCTTTAAAACTTCCGCCCCTTGAACTATTGAAATTGCATATATTAGCTTTAGCTCTCGATCAACAGCCGCTACAAGAAGAAGATCAACGGGCTGACGACGGTCGACACCTATGCACAGGTAAAAACTCTTCCAATAAAAATAAAAGATAACAATTCGATGTGCCGATTATATTGAACCGATACCCGGCTAAACCCTGTTTTTATGAAACATATGAAATCAAAAATCATTTAGCGGAATAGTAAACAAATTTACCAATAGAAAAGCATCGATTTTCGGTCAAAAATCAATCAGAAATTTTTAATTTTTGAAATGTTTTTGATGGTTTTTAACGCCTGAAATTACGCCTAATAAATACGCCTATTAAATATTACTGCAAGCATTATTAAAAAAACTTCCGCCAACTTACTAGGTATTTCTAGACTTATACAAAAAATTACCCCCCCCCCCGATAATGAGAAAGCTCCTAGAAATCAACCTATCGGAATCGTGTCTTCGATTCGCACCAGTTTTCGCCCTTAGAAACCCTAATTTAGTAAATTTAATGTTGCGCCAAAATATACCATATTCTCCTTAATGCATACGCTAATGGAGGCTGTTTTCCACTTTATACGACTTTTCGTTATCCGGGTTTTTACAAGGACTTTATTCCTAAGATGCTTCCCCCTCCTGTCACACTCTCTTTAAAATAGCCAATTTTCCAGGCGGACGACGTGAGCGCGACGAACCAGCGCTCCGGGAATACCGTACTCAGCCGGTGGCATGGTTGGCTTTTATTTTTATCTACAAAGCTCATCAATTACGTTAAAAAAATGGGATGAAAAATTGGCAGCTAGTTTTTTATCATTTGAAAATTATATTGCAAATTTTTTTATTTTTTATACTTACTTTTTCCAAATCAAAAAATCACCAAAAATTTATTTGGGCTATATTTATATTTGCAAAATTGCGAAGATGCCTTGATTAGATTCGAATAACTTTCCGTATTTCTGACAATTTTCAAAACACATTTTCAGGCTCATTCGACGAATCGGCAGACGTGCAACCCCTCGACGATATTCCCCCGGATTCGAGCAATGCGAGGCGGATAAACGGCTTTGGCATGTTTTCTAATATTTAAGTTTCTTAACTAAACTTGTAGTCATTATAAACAATGTTAAAAAAATAATTTTAAAACACCGTGTTTCAAGAAAAAATCAATAAATCGGCAACCTGTTTAGCTTAATTCGTGGTTCTGGTGAAGCGGTTCGAAACGCTAGATTTACCTCAATGGTTTCGGAACTAACTATTAAAAAATAAAAGTTATCCTGATTTTTATTTGTTTCTATTGAATTTAGTTGAATAAAGAAATAATAAAATAAATAGGAACATAAAAAATAATAATATATAAATGTAAATATCATATAAAAAATCAATAGAATAAAAAATATATATAAATTAATATAAATAATTATTTTATAACAGTTTTCTAAAACCTGGATAGTGAAACCTTTTTTTCAGCCCGAGCCTCAACGAACATCCTCTCGCCTCCGCGATCCGACTCGAACGTCACCTGTTCTCAAATGGTCACCTCATCCTCCCCATCGGCCAATCTGGCTCTGGCCTCTCCGATGCTCAACAGAAGGCATCAACCACGACAGGTTCGGGCAAATTAGATTTTGTCAATCAAGATCTCGCGCTTATTGAGCGCTTTTGAAACGAGTCGTGCTCGCCATTAAATGAAACATCAACTTTCTGAAACCTAATTGCACTGGAAATTCACGGTAGGGATTAGATACCCTTGGAAAATTTTAGTTTTGCCATTACATAAAAACAACGACATTATTGTTCTATTTTACTACCAAATCAACTAAGCAGATTAACTGTCACTGTAGCGATTGTTATTTGCGAGTAGATGAAACACAATTTTCGAAGAATTCAACCAACAAAAAATTACCGGTTTTATTCCACATTGTGTAAAACATGATATTTTTAAACATTTTGCACTGTTGTAGAAAAAGTTTGCCGTATTAATGGCTAGTTATGAATCCATGGATCGATATATAAGTTATGGGAAAAATCCATCTTTGGAATCTTGGGAGTCGATCCGCCATAGAACTCGGTGAAAATGTTAAGTTTCATCGATAAACTTCGTAAACGAGTAACCATTGGCAACATTGTCTTTCTCGCAAAAAACGCCTTTACATTTTTTCTATGTTCTACAGGCGCCTTTAGCAAACTTTATATTATTAAAGTTAAATTTGACGTTTTAGGAAGAAAAGCAGCTAAACGGCAGCGCGAATCAGCGAACCCATTCGGTCGGTGCCCCATCGACAAGCCTGCTTGGCCACTTCAAAAATTTTGTTTCGGTGGGTTTTTGGAAAATGTGTTTCGCAAAAATTAGGGTGCGGAACAAATTTGGTATGCATTAATTCCCGAACGCAATCTTTTTTTGCCATTAAAAAGTACTGGAATTCCTTTTTGAAGTATGTCCTTAAAAAATTGTGTTTTTTTTTTAAATCAAGTACCAGGGTCGAAAAGCCGCTTCGCGACTTTTCAACCCTGGCCCCGTTCTGGACCAATGAAAGTTTGCACTTTGCATAATTCCACCCGACTCGCGTTGAAAAAAGTGAAACAGGCCCTCTCTGCTCCTTTAAATAAGCTACCGCCACTTCCGGTGTATACTAATTGATTCCTAACAAAGAGGATCTCGGATTTTTCAACAAAAATTAAAATTTAATGTCGAAAATAGGCGATTTTGGTGCAACTCATCAGCGTGCAGTCATCTCCAGACCATTACGCACCTATTGACGTATCAAAAATGCCCCTAAATATTCTGCTTCTTGAGATATTGCTGGAACACGCTGACGGAAGTTGCATGCAAAGTGGCACACACACACACACACAGACACTATTTTTTTATATATAGTAGGATATTATGGTATTACAAAGTCCAGACGTCGACCAAATGTTTACAAATCGCTTTGCATACCCTGTAAAATAAATTAAAGAAAAACTTTTTACAAAAATTTTGAACTCCGGGAAAAATCTTAGTAAATTCATGCTTTTCCATTTTAAAAAGGTCAAAAACCGTAGGTCTTAAATATATTTTATCAAACAACTCTTCAAACATTTTTTAAAACCTGTTTGAAGAATTCTTAATGTATGATTTTTTCCACTTAAAAAGGTATCAACCCGTTATTTAAAAAAAATTTAATCAATGCGATTTATCAAATAGAAAAAAATGCTTAATACTTTCAAGCTTTCGCACTCAAACCCGTGCCGGCACGCTCCCTTTAAAGCCACTTCCCGGTCCCTTCAAAACCCCGTAAACTCGGCTTCTACCTAATCGCCTAACCTCCTTGCAGTCGTTCAACCAGTTCGGCCACTCCTCCTCGCCGCGGATGTCGCGCGGGATGTCGATGGAACAGGCGCGCCCCCAACAAGTCGACGGCGCCCGCGACTGCCAGACGAGCTACGGTAGCTGGGGCGATTTTTAGAAAATAGGAACCACGGAGCTTCAGGCATTCGCAATTCCACTTCCGGCGGTCTCCGAATTTCCCCAGCCGTCACCACAACACGAATCGTGGCAAGCGTAGGTTTTAATGCCTCTTAAAAATGCCTTAAAAACTACCCTACAAACTGTACCTTGTGCATTATCGGGGGGGAGTTTAGAGGTCAGAAATGCCTAATAAGGAAATAGCAATTTTTAATAGGTATTTTACGGAATTTATTTAATTACCAGTCACGTCAAATTGTTTTGTATCAATTGTATCTAAGCCAGTCACACGTCAAATTGTTTTGTCGTGGCCATCACTATACTATATTATACTAGAAACATGCTCTTTCTAAAAAATCATAAATATCATAGAAAATTCTAGTAACGTAATAGCATATATTTTAATACTGTTTCAACAACATTTAACGAGATCTAAAGTGGAAAACGATCTAATAAACTTTAGAATTTTTAAAAAATTCTAGTTTTTGTCGAAAAATGATATTTTGGCTTTATTGAGAGAAATTTCAGTATTAAGCTTTGGAGTAGTAAAAATAGCTTCGAAATACTTTCTAAATTTATATAAGCCTCCCGATAATGCAAAAGAACCTATAAAATACACACTGAATTTCTATAACTTTATACCCATTAAATTGAATGCCTTCTCTTCCTGAAGCTGTACTGTCACTTTGATAACCGACAAATAACAAAGTTTAATAATCGACTTTAAAAAATGTTTCCGAACAGGCCTGAAAAAGGGTTGGAAAACAAGACTTAATTGACCGCGATTAGTAGTTTCACAAAACACTACGGTAAAAGTTGAACAATCGAACAATAATGGGCAGCGCCCAGTGTCCACCATGACCAGTAGGCAGAATCAATTATTCCACCAAAATACAGCAAAATATACTTTTAAATTCGGTCATAATTGAAAATTCATTCAAATTAAATTCGAATGAAGATCTGTGATAGAAAATAAATGTTTCATCCACAAAACCAGTGGTGAAAATTTCGGAAGTTGATACTACTTCAACTAGAGTCACCAGGATTTTTGTACTAGCCTTATACTGATTTCTATAATTTAATTATTCCTTTTTAGCACGATAACAACAACTAGTAATATTCAAAACCACCCAAATACAGTAATTGCAAACCCAAAAATTGACTTGATATTGATTTTCAGAGGCAAAAGACGCGGTTTTTAAGTAGTTGTTTTTTAGGTGGCTGAGACTTACATAAATCTGTGTTTTATAATAATTATATGACCAAATTGCAAGCACAATTTCTCCGCCTAAATAAGACTTTATAAACTGTGAATTTAATCAAAAACGAAAATAATATGTTTCAAGAAAGTTTAAAAAAACAAAAATATTCGCTTGGATTGATACATGAGTGCTATGCGACGCAATTAAATTTCTAAAGTTTACGGCATAAAACCATAATTTTAAAAATTGAAGTCGAGAAGAATAAAGAAAATAAGAAAACAACTTTTCTAATAAAGGTGGGGGCCGTCCATGACGGGGACGATGAGGGCTGGGAGGATGAGAGAGAGGCCAGACGGCAGCGACGATTAAGGAGGAGGAGCTCGGCTGAACCAATGTTAAGGGTACGGGATGATACCCCCCAAATTAACCACCGTACTACTACCGTATACACGCATTAATGACATGCTAAGCTTCAGACAGCTGTAGAAATCGAGGAACTAACGGTTTAACGGCGAATTCTTGCTTAATTTGGGATGAAACATTGTTTTCATTTTTACTTCATTATTCCTATTCTTTAATGTAAGTTTTTGTCCTTATTTTAAGGCGCATGGAAAGGCAGGAAATATTTAGGCAATTCCTGGATAAAATAAAAATGTGTACCTTAATAATTAAGGCGTACTTAATTATCTATAGTGAAAATTATACTATTCAATATCATTATATTAAAATGAATTGCCTGTCTTTCTATAGTCCCTTTAAAGCTACGATAGCTTCCAATCCGAAAAATCATCGTAAAAAACGAAAAAACATGTTTCTGTCTTAAATGAAATAAATTTTGGTCTGACAGTCTTTAATCTGACTCTCAGAAAAATACGGAGCCTTGTCGTATCATTAATGCGTGTATTGCCTTAGAGTTTTCGTTTAAGAAACGTTCGATAATCCCATTACCCTGGAGAAGTTGCGTATTGGAAGGGCCAAAACTAAATGTGAATCTCTTTATTTTGTATTTTTATGGTAATGGCATCAAAATTAAGCCTAAATATTAACCCCCAATCTGCTAGGCTATACGTTAAAAAATTTGAAATCTATAGTATTCTATAGTATTCTGTTTTTAATATTACTCGAAATCGGGGCGTAGTTTTCATCATTATGCCAATTAAATAAAATTATTGTACGGCCGAATCTGACGATTAATATCTCCACTGATTTACTTAATCAAAATCTTTTGAAACATTTTTACAATATGTTTCATAGCATAAATGATCCGACTGAAACTGGACTTTAGCAATTCAACTCTTACTATGATTTAACGTGTAAATAAGTTTAATCTGGCGCCTGTTTTTGGGTTTTTATAGAAGATATTAGTTTTATTATTATTATATATGATATTACTAGTATTTTTAAGTAGTTTTTGCAATCAAATTTAAAATGTTGCAACTTAAGTAATTTTATAACCTTTTTCCACGGGCCCTTCTAAAAATGTGTTTCGAAAAAAATACAGGGTAACCCGAGTGTTTCCTCACTATTCTTGAGTTGTATCATTCTGAAAAATTTCCACCAGAGTGCCCCATTCGGTTTTTTTTCAGTTGTATTTTATTCACTGAACAGCCACCGTTTTTGGAGTGTTTTGTCATTAGATAATTCCAATTTTATTTCTATATTTTTTTAGCGCCACGAGCTGGCCGAAAACTCGCCGCCACCCTCGCCCAAGCCGCACAACATCGTCCAGAAGACGTCCGTTGTCCATAGGTGCGTTCCGGAAAGTTATGGCCGTCACTTCAAAAAGAAATTGACCCACCACGGCCTTCAATGAACCAGATTCGATTCGAAACATGTCTTTGCAAAAATCAAAATTGCTATAAAAACTCCTAGTAACGTAATTTCTAGTAACCAATAGTTTCAGAGCGCTTTTAGTAAAATTTAGCAATAACTGAGGTGAAAATATTAAAAACCTTGTAAAAATTCGACACTGGCTTCAAAACGGCTATTTTTGATCGATAAATCGTTATTTTTGTGTATCCAAATATCCCTTGTAAGGCTTTTTCGTAAGTAATAGGCAAGACCCTTATCCGAAAATTGATTGCTGCCTTTTTAAGGTTGCTTAAATAATTCCCGCAGTTGTCAAGTTCTTGAAAAATTTGGTATCCGAAAAAGTTCGCATATTACATCTTGCCAAGACCGGCCATACGATATGTTTAGAGGAAACATGATTTTCGAAAAGTCAACTTGGAATTTTTGGATGTTTTGGGCTTTCCTGGAATAGAATTCTTCTTTTTGACGGCTCTTTTGTTTATAGTTTTTTGTAGTACGGTAGAGTAGATAATTCGCTATAATTCGTTGAAACAAATCTTTTTGAATTTCGGTGTCAATTTAGCACGGTAAGTTGTCCAAAAAATAACAAAAAACTCCAGCCGTCAAAAAATATCAACAATTCGACAAAAAAATAGCATATTTGGTCAATAACTGAGAATCTTAATGAAAAATAACTGAGAATCCTCTTCGAGCCAATGATTACTTCCAATGAATAACCCAAGTCGTTTTATCTGGCCGAAACCTTTTTTTCTAAGGGGTATGCGACCGCTCCGAGTTTTGGGACCAAATTCATTTTGAAGTCAGGGCAGACTAGCAGCGTTTATTTAGGAGCCAGTTTCACCTCCCCCCAAATTACAGTACGCCTCCAATCGTGAAGATGCGCGACAACGGGATGGACGAGGATTTCCGGTTGCCGATGGAGGACAACAAGCCAATACTATTCTGCAGGTAGGTGTTACTGTAAAAGCAACCATAACTTAATCTGGGTTTTATAATTTTCACGACCTATACTATAAAATATATAAAATAACCACCGATTAATAATGTTTACTGAAACATGAAATTTTCTAAGTAAAAACTATGGTTCTACAGATAGAGTTTTATGTAATTTGAATTTAATTAAAAATCAGCCAAAAGTTTGCAACAATTTTTAGGATTTCAAATAGGTGAAAATCCAAATAAATTGATTTAAACAAAAAACAGCCTCTATTTTACAAGAAAGAGTTTCGAAAAATTGCTGATCATCTAGCGTTTTCCTAGGATGATTCAAATCAGACAAGTCGATGAAAAAGAATAAAAATTTTAGTGGATTTTCTTTGTTTAATGGCTATAAAACATCTGCTTCTTTCGCTTGATAACCTATTTCAAATCCAAAATAAATTAGGAAAAGATGTTTGAAATAAATTATTGGCCGCGCTTACTTATGGTACTTAATCCGCTCGTGCCAGGAATCCCTTACTTTCGAGGAAACACGCTTAATAAAAGCTAAATTCGGTATATAAATATCGATTAAAGTTAGCAGTCATAGAAATTATACAAAAAAAACATGTGGATCTATAAATTCAGGTGCTCCATGGGGATTACCATGACATGAGAGGAGGTGCTAACGCATTCCCATTTTTATTACTTATTTTATTTTTCTAGAATTTATGGTACTGGACTGTTAGCGGGGGGGGGGGGCATTTTTTAATACGTGTGATTCGCAGGAAATAATAAAAATACGTAAATTCTCGAAAATTTTCATTTAAACACGCAAAAAATATTTCAACATTTTTTAGATTTTTTAATGTGTGTTTTATATCTGAAAACTCGATAAAACGCTATAAAAACGGTTTACATCTCGTTTTAGGGCAAATTGGTAGTTACTGGGGGGAATTGCCCCCCCGCTAAGAGTCCAGTATCGAATTTGTTTTATAATTTTTATCAACTCATTTATTTTGTCTAGCTAATTCGCACCGTAGCCGGCTCGCCGAGTTAAGGAAGAGCCAGTTGTTTTTTATCTATTGACCCAACTACCGTACCACCTAGCTAGAGCTACAGTATTTAGCTTATACTACAAAATTGCGCCACTAACCCCCGCATGGGCCACCAGCGGTATTGGTGTATTAGCGGGGGGGGGGGGGCTAAATTGTGGGGCACCTTCCCCATCCCCCCCCCCGCTAACGCACCAGTTCCTCAGCAGCAGCCACACAAAATTCGCTTCATTTTACTAACTGATTTAAGCGATTTCATTTACACATTTTTTAGAAGAAAGCGGTACACGTTCCTCAACTTCCCAAGGACTTCATCGAAATCATAAAAATGACAAAAAACCCTAAAAAGTAATGGTGCTTTTGCATTATCGTGGGAGGACGAATTTTTTTCCCATAAGATTTTCCCATTTTCCCTTTCTATAGAATCCTGTATTAACTTAATATTAATGTTTAATAGTTTTTTAGTAACATTAAACAAATACTTATTCCACTTTAAAAACGCAAAATTTTGCTAAAAAAACTATGTTTTTGATAAATCATAGGTGCAAAAATGATAATAATTTTTAGTAATATTAACTTGACAATAAATTTAAATTTTGGTGAAGACTATCTTTTAGATCTAAAAATTTAGTATATGGTTAATTTAAAGCCCCCCCCCCCCCCGATGATGCCAAAGCACCAAATTCTCGATACCGTACACCCGGACTATATTTCTAGCTCTTTCACCTCCCATTGACGAGTGCTTTTGTAGTTTGTATTTGCATTTTTCATCGATATTTTAACCCATTTCTGTTCTCAAAAAAGGTGCCCAACAATACAAAAGGTATACTTAATTTCTATTGTATTTTTATTTTTCATACTGTCCTTCTTACTACCGTATTTTCCCCGAAAAACTCAATTAACCGTTGCTCCAGCCCAAAAGATGCCAAATCAATTAACGCCTATCAACCTCCCCCTAAAAGGTGCTAATTCCGATGTAGCCAATATATTCAGGATTCCTTGATTTTTGTTATATTTTTTAATTACCGGAAATGTGAGCATTTTTTTAGGGAAATTTAATCGAATAGTACTAGGATAATTTGAACGGTCGCAACAACCGCGCTTGATTAAATCGACTGCCTTTTTAGTTTTTTTAACAATTAATGAAACATTTTTCCACTAGAAATTACGTTCTATTTTTACTGGATTGTTAATTCATTATTCATTTTGCTTAAAAATTCCGTAGCATTTTTGCGATTCGGAATATGAAAATCGTGGCAGAAATTTCGGATCTTTCTAATCAAGGGGAAACACGGTTTTGAAAAAAAAATCGATTAACTTTAATCCCTCTGAAATTATCAGAATTTATTAATTATGTATTTTTATGTCTAAATTTAGCAGATTTTCGTCATCCAGAGATAATAAGATGCACACATTGCCTCAACCAAATTTTCTAATGTATTTGGAAAAACCTAAAGCACAATTTTCTAAACTAAAAAATTATCACATTTCCGGTACCATTTTTTCGCATTGGGTACTATTCTTCTCCCACCGCTAGTCAATTCGGCAGCCCGTATTGCCTTCCGCCAAACGAGCAAATAATCAAACTCCATACGCTACACTCACCCAAAAATGGCCTGTACTTGTTCACGACGTTGTCCCCCCAAGAATCCAGTTGCTCATGTTGTTATCCGTTTTTTTACCCTTGAATTCTCCTCTTCCCCCTCCCCTCCAGAATTGATTCGAGACGCGGTGCCGTGAAACCAAAATTGATGCCTGAATTTCTTATATATTATTGATTGTCGTTTTTGATGTTAGAAACCCTGTTGCCATATTAGTATGTGTGTCCCACCACATCTTCTAGTCGCACAATCTCAACGCCTAATATATAGGCTTAATAAATGTTCGTAAATATTAAACGCGATTCCCGACAGCCAAAAAAATGTTTCGCTTTTAGAGGACTTCACGATGAATCCAATGTATCTATTACGTCGTCGTGTTTCTTTACCTTTCTTTTACTGATTATTTACCTATTACCTTTCTTTTCATTGTCATTTTAGAAGGATTTAAATACCGCCCTAGAGGGCAGTCTAGCAGAAATTCCTTGCGGAAGCTGCCCCGTGGCAATTAAACTTTAAAGCAGAACACAAACATGGCTGTCTGCAATCTCCTAAAAAAAATCCAAAATATTACTTCATTTCTCTGAACTGCTCGAAAACCTCGGATTAAGTTTAGTGGAAGAAAAAGAAGCATTTCATCATAGCCCTAGAGGGGAGGCTAGCAGAGCTTCCTGCGGAATCTGTTCGTACAAATTTAAAATTAAAGCGGAACACCAACATGCCTGTCTGAAACCTCCTAAAATTACTGTAATTCTCTGAATTGCTCAAAAACCTCGGATGTAATTTCAGGCCTTCAACCGGCTAAACTTCAGCCAAAAATCGATTAAAACCAAAAATTCATCACTCATTCATCGATTCACAAGTGGGGCCAAGAAAAAACAACGCACACATTTACAAAACACACACAAAATTCGATGCGCCATCAGCTACACGGAATCAATTAGACATGGGCGAAACGATAAGAAAAACAAAACAAACGAAAAAAGATGGCGCGCCAAGTCGTTAGAACCAAAAAAATCGGATATTTTATTAAAGAGAGAGGGAGAAAAAAGACGAGGGCGAGTGGTAAGGACAACGAAATTTAAAGGGCGGTGGAAGCCGGGGGCGGGGGAGCTGCGCGAAATTTTCTATAGGGGGTGCCGCGGGTAAAAACCGTAGTTGGATATATCGCAAGTCGGTGTGGGTGGGTGTGGTGGGTGCACTTTACAGTTAATAAGCCTTAAATTATTATACCAAAACCCAGGACGCCGGCTATAAATTAGGGGGTCACGCGGCTGTGTACACAAAGAAACGGTTCAGGTGGAATTTTCCAAAAAAAAATGCGGCCTTTTTCGGTACGGTATTTCCGAGTTATTTGTAGTTTGTAAAGCTTTAGCTGCGAATTGGAAGTTGAGCATTTTGGATGAAGTAATTTAATGCGTCGCGTATGCGTCACGGTCTTCCGAGTCCAGCTTTCAGCTGCAGCGCTACAAACTACAAATCACACCAAACTACAGCAGAACAAAAACCAAAATTTTTTTGAATTACACGACGTAACGGATTACGCCAACTTTTCGTGGGTGAATAAATTACGGCATGGAATTGGAGAGGGCGTCGTTTTTCGAGGAGAAAATCCGCCGCCCCCGCGGAAAGCTAGAGTAGGGCTATATCACAGGGTAGACTATAGTATATATCATAGGATTAGTGCGGTGTAGATTCTTTGTATAGATATAAAGAGCGAGAGAGAAAGGTCGCGTCTCCAATTAAAATACAGCGGTAGAACGAAAGAGATGAAAACAGAGGCGAGGGCTTAACGGCTGTAATAGACGCGGTAGTAGAGCGTCTTCGAGCGCCACAACGAGTAGGAGTTGTCGAATTTGAGGAGGTAGACACCACGGCCCGGGTAGAGGTGAGAGCCGGCGTATACCTGGAAATTATTAATTTATTGGAGATCGAGATATCGTCATTATTACATTTTTATTTTTATTTTATCTAGCATGGTCCGGTTTCGCTCCAGAAATTGGTACTTTTCCACTCCATTGGTAAGTGTTTTAATGGTGTTCATAGTAAAAAATAACTGTATTTCAACTAGACAAACTTTCTCACAACTTCGAAATGGAATTTTTGGTCAAAAATTGGCCACTTTTGCTTGAAAAAAATCCAGAGTTTACAAAATTTTCAAATAAAATTTTGTAAAGGTCTTACGTTCAGTAATAGCAAAATCATTTTTTTGAAAAATTCGGTCTCAAGGAAAATCCTCACCTCTTCATGACAATCACGACGGTACACAGGGATGATCTCGTCCTGTCGCGGCTTGCTGGGGTCGCGGTTGCGGACAAGGCGTGGCGTGCCGGATTCGACGTCTCCTAAAGCTCAAAAATAATTAAAACAAGGTTTAGCGTACCTGGAGCTGTACCCCCCGGCGTTGCGGCTCCACCCTCGGCTCCGATGGCCACCTCGGTCTCCTCATCCAGCTCCTCGTCGGACGACTCGGACACGTGAACAGTCACCTGAAAAAGGAAGATAAATTGGGAATGAAAATATTGCCGCGACGAATAATAATTTCCGCACGCTTCTAAAGCCCTTCTAGAAATTTACACCTGGATCCCTTTAAAAACATCTCCAACATGGTCAGCTCAATTTTTTTTGGTAAATTTGCTGCAGTGCCGTCGGAGGCCTAAAATATCAAAGGACACACGAAAATTCGAGGGGTACGTGGAAGGGGAAAAGCAAAGGGGGAATGGGGTGGACAGGAATTGAACTCGCCGCGGATACCTCGTGCTGAACGCTGTTCTAAAGAAAGCGACGCAGGTTTCGAGAAAAACAAAGAAAAGCCGAATCCTAGTGAAAACCGCACCTGATCGGTGTCGGCGATGCTCCACTCGAACAGCACGCCAAAGCCAATGTCGTAGTGGTCGGTGGCGAATTCCCAGAAGAGGCAGCTGCCCTCCTCATGCGTGGGGACGCGAACCTGGAAATGGAGAATTAGAGGAGATGGGGGCTCAAAGCGGTAAAAAACTGATAATCCTACTATCCCACTATATATAAAAAAGTAGTGTCTGTGTGTGTGTGTCGATTTGCATGCAACTTCCGTCTGTATGTCCGGAGGATAACTCAATAGGGGATGAATATTAGGGTATGTATGATACATCATTAGGTGCGTAATGGCTCTGCGATGACTGCACGCATAACAGAATTATCGAAATACGCTATTTTCGATATTAAAAATAAGTTTTTTTGTAAAATTTTCTTGAACCCTCTTTGGTAGGAAACAATTAGCGTATACCGGAAGTAGAAGAAGCCTATATAAAGGGATGGAAGGAAAGCTTTTCATTTCTGTCAGCATGATTGAGGCGGAATTATGCAAAGTTTACAGTTTCATTTGTCTAAACGGGGCCAGGGTTGAAAAAGTCGCGAAGCGGCTTTTCAACCCTGGTTATGATTTAAAGGAGCACACAAGGCTCCAGTCGCACATGAATTTTTCCCATGGATTTTGTCAGTGTACGCGCCGCGCCGAACAACCCTACGGAATGCAATGCAACGGAATTTCGACGAAATGCAGGAAATTATGAAAGTATAAATTTCGCCGATTTGAAACAAAACCGCGCGAATTCATAGAAAATCTATAAGCCTCTTCTCGAAACATCATTTTGGAGAAATTTCAATGCCCTTCGACTTAAACAAAATTAAATTGCCACAAAATGATATTTCGACAAACGGATTCTCGACAAAGCTAATCTCGACATACTGATCGCAACCCAAAGAAAAACATACCGTAACCGTCTCGCCATGTCCCACTTTAATGCATCCCTCCTTGCCCTCGGCCCGAATGTTGTCCTTGAACTCGACAATGTCCTGCCGATTCCACAACGACGCCGGCGCAATGTTCGGGTTCGCTAAAAACGGAGGCCGTAATCCGGAAAGCAACACGACACGCGGCGCTTTTGAACACACCACATTGATCTTTTCTGTTACGATATGGATATTCCGGAGTAAAGAGAGGGGAAGAAAGATACACATCTTGGAGCGTATAGATTTACCGGTTACACCCGGAAAATGTTATAAAATTGGCAAGGCGCCAACTGAGGTTGGTGGAAAATCATTTTAGTGCCAAAAAAGGTGCAGTGGTTACGACAGAATAGAGAAATGAACAGAAAACACCAATAGTGGCCACGACACGAGCAAGTTTTCGGCAAATTCGGATTCAGGTCGGCGCTTACCCTTTTTTGAGGTTCAAAAAATGGCATGCGAATGCGTAAATTGGCTCATGCTACGATAAAGCAATTGAAAAATAGCTCAGACTTTTTAGCAAAAAGCCGCACAACAAGCGAAACATTTGAATGTTTCTTTCGTCTAAAGATCTACTAAAAAAGTCATTTTTCTAGCTGTGTTACCGTATAGAATCATGCATTTTTAAAAATATAAAAAATTACAAAACCAGCTAGATTTTCAAAATTAATTATATGTCCGGTATAATTTAAAATTTTAAAAATGAGCATGCTAAGCCACCGATCCCTCAAAACAGCCATTTTCATCGATAAATTCTGGTAAAAAGTAAAAAACTATTTTTAAAAGTGGGGGTGTCGGGGTGAAAAACGCCAGCTGGACACGCGACAATAGGCAGGAAAACGCGGAAGACCAATATAATCAAAGAAAAAACAATCTCGGATTTCGCGGGGGGCACGGACCGGCCAAACCTACAATGGCAGAAGAGTCCCATTTGGGCATGGATCGACGATACTTGAAGAAAATGGGGGTCGTTATTTTTAGGCGGGGAAGAGCTGCTTGGTAATATCGGCATTTTTATAATCCACCCCACCAAGAAAAGTTAATTTTATCTTTTTACCCACTGCCACAGATAGTTCAGAGGAGCCACGCGGAAAGTGTCGGCATTCGTTTTTAGTCGATTATTTTAGTTTGTAAATGATAGACGCCAAGCTTAGAAGTGGGGAGCCATTTGGGGTGCGGGCGTTTTGTCGAGATTGTTGGCTCGATGTCGATTCTGGATAAGGCAGACTAGCAGAGACTTTTAGGAATTTTTCAATTTTTTTAGTAAGAATTATGGAACTTTTATCAATTAACTGATTTCATTTATATAAATTTACGGATTTTTTATAATTAATTTTTTATCTTCGAAAACATCAAAATCGCGAGGAAACAAGCTACAGCGCGATTTTCCACAGACTTTCATCGATTTTATGGGCTAAAATTTTTCTAATCGATTTCTATTAAAGTTTCGGTATAGCCGAGTTTAATTAAAATTTTCCTAAATACAAAAACACCCTAAACATCGACCCAAAATCCCGCTGCAACTCCGCCAATTCCCCAAACCGCTCGGCGAGCAACCTGGCTGCGGGGGCGTATAATCGAGCACGGGGCCGCTCTCGGGCTGGATATGCTCGGTGAGCGATATTTGCTGTTGCTGCTGCTCGCCAGCGACAGCCGCTTCCGGCTGCGTGATAAAGCTGGCGGCCGTGATATGGATATCGTTAAGGTCTTTCATAGCCGGGTCAGATAGACGGGCCCCAGTGCCCGTGACCGGGCCTAAAATGAGGGAAAATGGGTGTGGATTAGCCAAAATTGGATTTTTTTTTTCAAGACCGTTACGTACAAGGGAGATCGTCGCCCGGCTCCTCGTCACTGGCGTCGCTATCGTCATCGTGAGCCTTCTCGTCGTCGGCGGATCGCGGCGGCTTGTCGCCGTCACCACCGGCGCCCTGACAAAATATATAATTCTGATGGTCAGGTTCATTAAGAAGTGCTAGTCCGTTAGCGGGGGGACCCAAATTTTTCCGATGTTTCCGAAGGCACTATAAAATTAAAAAAATTGGCTATTCTAATATCATTTTACGGCCTTTCTAGATTTCGATATAAAACGTTTATTAAAAATGGCGCAAAATGTTCAACGGAACGAATTAAAGGACATCTGTTTCCGCATTACACCCAATTCACCCTTATAGTGCTAAAATAACCCGCTCAAAAATTCACCTGCTGAGCGTGCTGCGCGTACACCTGCGACATGTATTGCTGGTAGTGCTGCTCCTGGAGCTGCTTGATCAGTTGTTCTTGCTGAAAGAAAAGATTATATAAATCGCTCTTTCTATTTTCCATTTTTAAAGAGGCTTGGTCGAGAACTCTACCTCGTCAAAAATACTGCAAAATTTCCCTGGTACTCAATTTCCTGATTCTTCACCTAGCCAATTCTCCCTCCCCAAAATTTGTGGGAACAGCGAGAGATTCGTAGAGGGCAACAGAACACTAGTTACCCTAACAGACCGACATACAGACATACATCCACACACGTAGAGCCGGCCCTTTATTTGTCCGCAGCCCCACCCTTGGCCCCTTTCCAGATCCTCAGGATTGGGCCCCGGATATTGGCCAGCCAAAACCAAAACAACCACCCTTCGAGCACCGGGTGTGGCTCGAGCAGGAGGCAGAGCGAAGAAGCTTGGGGTTGCACGCGGCGCTTAAGGGACATGCAACTTTGCTGTGACAGGAAAAGCGAGGCGTAATCGGAATATTATCCGAATGTGGCCGGAATATCTAATTAGCGCCGGCGTTTTTAAACTTTTTAATATGTCTGAACGTAAAAACTTTTCATCGACCAAAAACGACCAAATTTTTTGGATAAAAATTTCGACGTTTTGTAAAACCTGTGCTGTTTTTTCTAGTTGAAATATAGTTTTATTGTACTAAAAACAGCTTTAAAATCTTTCCTATTAAGCGTACATTATATGTCCGCGCGGCCAATGAAATCATCGCAAAATAGGTTTCAAGACAAAGGGCAGCTTCAAACTAATAAAATCACGACAATTCATAGATCAGCCGTTTTCCGCAAATGATTACTCAGTAAGCTCTATCTACTAATCCACGCGGCATCAAGGCACGCCCGCAGCATGAGTCGCACGATTCTAGCGGCTTCAGTTTCACCAAATAACGCATCTCCCACCGATCGCACTCATCGTTACACAGAGATACTATTCACGTCTTTCCCCCCGTTTTGCCGCTGCCGTAGCCACACTGTGTGGGCCCTGTTTACCGGCCAAACGGCGAACGGGTGGGGTTACTGGATTTCGACTAGGAGAGCCGGGTGGGCCCCTTTAAAAAGTAAAGCCGAGGGCTAGAGCCCCTTTCTCTCCCTACTCTCTCTACTCTTTCAAATCCTTGACCACAACCCCAAACAGTTCCCCTCGCATCCTCTGCGCTTCAGCCCCGATCTGATGGTGGGCCCTCGATGGGCCCCCGGACCATCACCAACGACTTGCTGTTTTTCGCCTGCGACCCCCTCCCCACAAGCGATCAACCGCGTGATTCCGGCTTCGGCTGTAGCGCAGTTATCACAATATTGTTGCACTGAAGTGCATTGTTGTTTTTGAGGGAGATGGGTAGCGCTTACAAGTCGTTATTTTACTAGCTAGCTTTAGAAGCTTGATCTGAAGCAAGTTATCAAAATTCCTAGTTCTTTCTCAACCTTTTGAAAGCCGGCTCTTCCTTTTTGATTGTTCGATTTTGAGAATCGCTTATCTTCGGCTACGATCTGAAAAACGAAGGGCCCTCTAAAATCGTGAATTCTCAAAAAGTGCCCTCTTATCTGATTTAGATTTAGGCAGATCTGCAGGCCTGCTCGAATCCGGTAGACCGCCATTTTTTATGAGCTAGATCCCATTTTTGAATCCGAATTCTGGATTCTCGAATTTTTAAGTCAGTCAAGTTATAAAGCTTCTCCGCTCAACCACCTTGCTGACACGCTCCCTTTAAACGTAGACCCCCCGCTCCACAAAAGTGCCAAATCTCCGCTCCTATTTATCTATCCGTCTTCCAAAAATCACACGTGCCAGCGCCAACAACTTCCGTTGTACCTGCCGGCGGCGATGATCATCACTAACTGCCCCCCGGGGGCGATGATCACGCGTTGTCACCCGTTTACAAAGCGCGTGTACGCAGCGCTATGCGAGTATCTGTGTACGAACAGCTGACGATTAGCGGATGACTTGCACACCCCGCGATGACCTCTCGAGAGTGGGAGAGAGAGAGAGAGAGAGAGAGAGAGAGAGCGAGAGCGAGAGAGATAGAGAACGCCCCGGGCACTGGCCGGGTGGCAGCAGTCCCGAATTCGAACTTTACGCTTTAAAGTTCCGTTAAAGTCCATAGCGCTATTTATCCGGGCCTTCGCTGATAGCTAGATATACGCATGAGACCCTCCGGAGCGCACGTTTTGCCTTGGGGGATCCGATACATCAGTTGTCTTAAGTTTTCCATTACTTTTCATGTTTTCGAGGAAACCGATTGGCATGTCTAAGATATCTTTCTCCAATTTATGATTTTAATCGTAAGCAACGTTTCGCATTTTGAAAACCAATATGGGTCTGCATCGGCAAGCAGACTCCTGTCTCTCTTTTAGAAAAAGCCGATCGGAACTAATAAAACGATGTTTCTTCAAAAAGCACCGTGGCGAAGGAATTTGATAGCATAATGGGGCGTCGATCTTTTCGTTTGACTGCAAACCTGCATATTTCTATCTCCAAGTCCCCAAAGCACAGCTTCTGATTCGTTCTATCCGCTAAATAATCCCGATTGTATTTGAAGTGCAAAGAGTATCCACCCGTAGTATGTACAGCCCTGCGAGAGGCTAGTGTTGAGCTTCACGAGGGGCTACGAGTGATATGTCACGCCTTCGGTGGGCGATGCGGGATATTTGCAAGCGCCCTCTCGCGCGCGCCCCAGCAACCACTAGCCCGAGCGAGCAGCACCAGCCGGCTGGTCCACCACACACTTTCTCCCCCATTGGACTAATTAGGGTGAAAGTGATAACGGCACTTTCTCGAGGCGCGTTCTAATTTTGTGCATAATCTTTGGAATAATTGTCCGGGTTTGATTTTCCACATAATTCTTCGACAGAAATATATTTTCGATAAGCATTCCCTTTTTGGCTAAAATCTTCGAAAGTGTAATTATTCGAAAACCCGAAAAGTTTTCGTGTTTCCGTGTTTCCATTTAGTTTTTTTCGTTCAGTTTCCATGCTTATTGCTAAAAATGAAAGTACCGAAGTTATGAAAATTACACCGCTTATTTATAGACTAAAACCCCAAAGTGCCATCGGAAAAAACCAATTGTCGAATTTGATACTTTTGAGAATTACTCGGAACGGAATTGCAGTCGATAAATGATGTAGCAAGGCAGCTTTACGGAAAAACATTGAAATTTTTGTTTTTGCTATGTAAATCATTCCAAAGCCCAGTCCCCCTACCATCAAAAAGCCCCTTTTTAACCCACAAATTTGATTTAAAATTAGGCAAAAAATGTAATTAGAAAGTAAGTCACAGCCAAGCTAGTGATTCCTGGCCAACCCCTGAAGAAATCTGCGCCCACCACATGTGGCCAAAGGGCTTTCTTTTCCCTGGGCTTTAGAGCTTGCGCCTGCTAAAAAAATTCGGCCCCATTCAACCGAACGTCCCCAGAATTAATATTATCGAGTATAGCCGTTCCTTTTCAACCCCGCTAATCGTACAATTCGAGCGGTAGACGCCCCAACTGCCACCGTGCCCCCCGCAAGACGACGTCTCGAGTGTGCGGGCTGTTGTTTTCCAAACATTCGCTGCGCGCCCCCTGACGCGCCAAGCCACCCATTTGGCGCTCGCGCGTGAAATGAGAATTTGGCATTTTGTTATTAGGGTCGGGGAAAAAGATGCCGCTTGTGCCAGTCGCGCTCCCTTTAAGGTAGAAACTATTCCCGTTCTCTAGCTCGCTCTCACTATCGCTCTCTCTCCCCCCTCTCTCTCTTTCTCTCACGTTCTCTCTCTCTCTCTCTCTCAAACTCAAATTCTCCAGAACCATCATGACAACGATACTCAACTCCGACTGCCTGGCCCAAATTTTTCACTACCTCGACTTTGCCGAACGCGTCAAGCTGGAGGGCGTTTGCCGGCTATGGTGTCGCATTATGGCCGCCTACTCGACAAACTCAGATATTCAGGAGATGAATATTGCCGAATTTTTGAAGACCACCAATACTGAATACTATCAACAGGTCCGGAAATCAAAATTTAAACTACAGAAACGAAAGTTTAGGACAGCCTGTCTTTCGAACCGACAACGATCGGGATTATCGACCGTTGTGGGCAGTATTTGCAAGAGCTGTCCTTTGGGGGGGAGGTGGATGAAGGTGACGCAGAGGATTTCGGATTCAATGGCAAGGTGAGCTGGGGGATTCGGTGGTCGAATAGAAACAGAAAAATCAAAGAATTAAAATTAGTCCAGAATTAAAAAATTAGTTACAAGAAAACCCGAAAATTCGTAACCAAAAGTTTAAAACTGAAAATCTGCATCTTCGGGGGGCTTACTTGCTAAAAAAACGCCAAGTCTTAAAAAAAATAAATGTTTTGGGGCTAAACCGAGGTTTTATACGCACAGGGATTACATGTCGTAATGCCGTCTGCGCGCCCAATCTATCTACCACGGTGATTTCCACACAAAATTTTCGCTTAAAACAACGATCAAAAAATCGCCTGAAAATTCAGAGAAATGACGACAAAATTTGTAAATTGGCGCATTTTGACGCCGAAACAGTAGAAAAAAAGCGACGTTTTGAGGGCACGGACCAAGTTCTCAGGCCTTAAAAAAAACTACTTCCAGCCAATGCCACGCTCTCCGCCGCCTCGACCTGAGCGCCGTGATCATCCACGGGGACATTAGCGACGTTCTCGACAAGGTCGCCGAGAACCTCGAAGACTTCTCCCTGGAGGACACCAGTTGGGTGGACCCGGAAGCACCGAAAAAAGTAAGCTCAAAGTGAACGAGTCCAAATATAGTCTCGTCAAAAACGTTTAGATCACGCCCTATTTCCCGCGAATGACCCGGCTACGGCGGTTGAACATGCGCGCCCAGTCAACGGCCGTCCTCAATGAGCTGCATAATGTGGGCGGGGAATTGGAGTAAGGCGGAATAATGGCTGCCTCGTAACGGGGATGGCCCCCTCAATTCAGAACGCTGGTGATTAGCACGGCGCTGCGAGACATGAGGAACTCGTCGCTGATCAAGCTGCTGGAGCGGCAGATCGGGCTCAAAGAACTGGTGATGTGCCCGTCGCCGGTGTTGCTCAATGGTGGGTAGGAGAAAGTTGTGGAAAAGGGCAAAAAGAGAAAGCTTTAAAGGGACTAGGAAGTCAAAATTTGCATCTGCAATTAAAGGGATACAGCCAAAGTACGAACAAAATTCCTTTCTTACCAAAAAAAACTTAAAAACCGCGCTATTTGAGAAAAGGCCGAATGTTTTGCCGGCAAAAGCGTATTTCTGAGCGAGGGGATTATAATTAAATAAATAAATAAAAAAATGAATAAAAAATGGAAAAAATAAAATAAATGAATAAAAAGGAATTCTAATTTTCGAAAAAAGTTTTCGCGTGGAGCGACAGCTAAAAAGTCGAATAGACTAAACCTATTATCTATTACGTAATGGATTCAACAGTTGTAGCGCGGAATCTTAGCCAAAGAAATCCACAAGAAGCCCTGCCCCTTTAAACCTAAAAACTAACAACCCTTTCTAGACGAGTTCATGGCCCGACTGCTGAACCTGCGCGCGCTGCACACGCTGCGCATCAGCCACGTCCCCAACGAGGGCTACGCAATCGAATTGCTCGGCCAGCTCGAGGGGCTGCGCAAGTTGGCGCTTCAGGTTCGTCCAGTTCAAGGGTGCCTCAAAACCAACACTCAATTTAGGAGGTGCGCTCGCTGACCGAGGAGTCGCTGCAGCTGATTCTGACTGGGCTCCGGAAATTGGAGAGCCTCTCGATGGCCAAGTGCCAAAATGTATACGGGTTCAGCGCGCTGGACCACTGCCATTGTCTTGAAGAGCTGGAGATTAGCGACAATACGAATTTGGTGGATGATGATCTGTTTTCGGTGTTTGGCCTGGGAGGGCTGAAGCGACTGAGGTGGGAAAGGGGGTCAGAAAAAGGCTAGAAAAGCGGATAAACAAAAAAAATTAGTTTTGTTTTTCATAAATTACGTGCTAAAACTACCTCATTCTTCGCAAAATCTGACTCTAGAATTTTGACACTGGTATTTTTCTCTCTTTTAAGTTCTATCGCTGGAAGAAAGAAAAAAAATGTTTGCCGTTACAGAAAAATTCCTAGACTTTGAAGCTCTACAAGAATCAACTGTATGGCTTGCTAATAAAATAGACCAGGGCCGATATAATAGTGGAAAAAAGATAGATAGAGGAAGATCTAAAACACCATATTTTCAGGGTGGTGCGTTGCAGCAACGTCAGCACCGAGGTCATCGTTCACGCGTTGCAGCGCAATCAACTTGAAACCGTAAGCCTACTATAGCAAACTAAAAAATCCCCGGTTTCAGCTCGACCTGACCGGCAGCACGATGATGAACGACGAGGCGCTGTTCGCCATCGCGTCCACGCAAAATGAGCTGGGCTATTTGAGCGTGAATGGATGCTACAAGACGTCGAGGTCAGTTTAAAGGGACAGGGAAGGCTCCAAAAACGGCCATCTATAATTTGAAAGAGCCAAATTAAAATTGGGCACCACAATTTTTCAGCAAAGGAGTGGCAGCCATCTCTCATATGGCGAATATCGAGAAGCTCGACGTGCTGGACGTTTCGAATAATCGAAAGGTAAGCCCGGGCGCTAGGGTTAACAATGGAAATCGATAGATCAACGAAATGGCCATCCTCGGACTGCATAATGCCCTGACGCTGAAGCGCCAGAATCGACGCTTCGAGCGCCAAGCCCATCAAGAGGATGATGGCTTCAAGGCTGCCGATTTGGCGGCATTGGAGATTCCAAGCAAAGTGAGTTCAAATAAAGCGAAAAATATATAAAGCTATAATTAGAATGGGCCATTTACTAACTTGAAAAATCCAAAAGCCAAAAATGACAGGAAACTGGCTCCGTTTTCCCCATTTTAAAAATCTGTTCGAACTCTTTTGCCATTTTTGGCGTTTCCCCCAGCCGGCTATGCTAACAAAGTAAATGCTTTGACTGGCTTAAAAACAAGGATTCAAAACCACGGCTAGAAAAAATCCAAAATCTAAATTTTGGCATGAAACTGGGCCAATTTTGCCATTTTAAAAATTGTTCCAGCGCTTTTGCCATTTTTCCGCTCCCCCGCCCGATCCGGCTATGCTAACAAATCAATCCCCAGACTACCAGAAAAACCTGGATTCGACAACGACTCCAAAAAAGACTAGTGAGCCCGGGGATGCCGACGGCGCGCGCCTAATTGCATCTGGCACACCCCCAATTTTCATACGCCAAGAAAGGCACGTGTCTGAAATCAAGGGCCCCAACTCAAGAAAACAAGTCGGGATGAAGCTTTCACAATAAAAAAAAGATTTTTTAGCTCCTAAAAGTCTACGCGACGCAGTCGTCAATTTCGACGAGCGTCGACGAGGCGGTGGCCGATTGCATCGAGATTCTGCGGTGATCTTTGGAGGAGAAGCTGCAGCCGACCACCACCCGGAACAAATTGAAATTGCCCCCCGGCGTGTCGGCGGCGCGTAGCCGCAAAATGTGATTACGCAATGTAATTAGCCAAACTACTGACTTTTTGCTCAACTGCCCGTACGATGTAATGCAATATGCCCCCCTTTTCGGTTAGTCATGTACACCCACCCCTCGAGAATACAGGTACACCCCGCAACGATAGTGCCACTCAGAAAACGATTGTGATTTGAGAGTTGGAGTAAATAATTAAAATGGCATTTTAAATAACAATTAAAGGCATTTCTCAAGCAAACGAAAGTCGAAAAACACTAAATTTTAAATATTTAGCCAGACCCTAGCAATATTTTGGCAAGATTTAGTAATATTTTATGCACTTCAGGTTGAAAAGATTTCAAGGGAAGAACCCGGTTAGGGATTTTCTCCTTCTACGGATTTCCTAGCCGCTTCAAATTTTTCTCGGCTAATGCATTACGCAATGGAAAAGCGGTGTTTGTCGTATATGCGTTTTTAGTCGCTAAAACTTATAATTTAAAATAATTTAAATAAATATCGCTTGTAAATCTATATAATTTAAAAGGAACCAGTCGATATCGAGCGCTACGCGGGCCGCTATCGACTGAACCCTCTGGGGGACGGACTACAGGGTGCTTCCCATTAGCTTTTCCCGCTGTCTCCCCATTGGTGCGAATACTCTTCGAAATATGCCTACGCCCATGTTTAAAACCAAATAGCCTGTCCCTCCTCAGAATGCCCCCGGAAGGAAACTCCACATCCGTAGTTGATCCTAAAAAAATAGAAGTGAGACGTGAAGCGTAATGTTCATAACACCCCCTGGAAGCAAAGCTATCACCCTTCTGTAAGAAGAAGGGTTCTGTAACCCTTTGAAAGAAAGTTATCTCCCTGCTTTGATACTAAAAAAACATCTAAGAAACGCGTAATGGCTCGAATACCCTTGAAAATAAAGTTATCTCCCTGCTTTGATACTAAAAAAACATCTAAGAAACGCGTAATGGCTAGAATAGCCTTGAAAATAAAGTTAGCTCCCTGCTTTGATACTAAAAAAACATCTAAGAAACGCGTAATGGCTAGACTACCCTTTGAAAGAAAGTTATCTCCCTGCTTTGATACTAAAAAAACATCTAAGAAACTCGTAATGGCTAGAATACCTTTGAAAGAAAGTTATTTCCCCTTCTTTGAGGCTCAAAAACATCTAAGAAACTCGTAATGGCTAGAATACCTTTGAAAGAAAGTTATTTCCCCTTCTTTGTTGCTCAAAAAACATCTAAGAAACTCGTAATGGCTAGAATACCTTGAAAGAAAGTTACTTCCCTTCTTGGATGCTCAAAACATCTAAGGAAACCGGTAATGGCTAGAATACCCTTGAAAGAAAGTTCATTCCCTTTCAGCTACTAGCAAAACACCTAAGAAACTCTGTAATGGCTAGGAATACCTTGAAAGAAAGTTATTTCCCCTTCTTTGATGCTCAAAAAACATCTAAGAAACTCGTAATGGCTAGAATACCCTTGAAAGAAAGTTATTTCCCCTGCTTTGATACTAAAAAACATCTAAGAAACGCGTAATGGCTAGAATACCCTTGAAAGAAAGTTCATTCCCTTCTTAGCTACTAAAAAAAACACCTAAGAAACTCGTAATGGCTAGAATACCTTTGAAAGAAAGTTATTTCCCCTTCTTTGATGCTTCAAAAACATCTAAGAAACTCGTAATGGCTAGAATACCTTTGAAAGAAAGTTATTTCCCCTTCTTTGATGCTCAAAAAACATCTAAGAAACTCGTAATGGCTAGAATACCTTTGAAAGAAAGTTATTTCCCCTTCTTGGATGCTCAAAAAACATCTAAGAAACTGGTAATGGCTAGAATACCCTTGAAAGAAAGTTCATTCCCTTCTTAGCTACTAAAAAAAACACCTAAGAAACTCGTAATGGCTAGAATACCTTTGAAAGAAAGTTATTTCTTTGATGCTCAAAAAACATCTAAGAAACTCGTAATGGCTAGAATACCCTTGAAAGAAAGTTCATTCCCTTCTTAGCTACTAAAAAAACATCTAAGAAACTCGTAATGGCTAGAATACCTTTGAAAGAAAGTTATTTCCCCTTCTTTGATGCTCAAAAAACATCTAAGAAACTCGTAATGGCTAGAACACCCTTGAAAGAAAGTTCATTCCCTTCTTTAATACTAAAAAAGCAATAAAAACCGTTGCGAAACAATTATTATTTGTTTTGGGGGTTTCTGCTACCATTAATGCGCGAACGGCCCCTGTGACCTCTGACCCCTCCCCCCTCTCCCCGGGAATGCCCTGAGGGCACGTTGAATTCCTGGACGGGCGGGCGGGCGGGCGTACGGACATTAGAAATTTATATATAGTAGATAGATATAAAAACCATAGCCATGCCTTGTCCGCCCACGGGGTTTTTTTTCTATGGCGAGGCGCGCACGGGATAACGTAGCCACGGCTCGCCAAAGGGCACTTTAGTACAGGACGCGCCTTTAGCCGTCCGGGCTCTGTGGGGCGGCGCCGCCCATATTAAAAACCCAGAAAATATACGTTTTATTCTAATAACTTTTTGTATATGATTTCGAATCTTTGGGAGGCGTGGGAACTTGGTAGAGAAAAAAATTATCTATCGAACTGTGTGGGCCGCTTTGAGAGTTCTCACCAAAATAAGGAGATTTTGAAGCCTAAAGTTCCGAAATCTTCGACCCAGCTGGTTTATGGCTAGTTTTTCAGCCTGTTGTTATCAAAATACGATGAAATTTCGCTAAAAAGTTCGGTAGAGTTACGATACATGCTTTTGAATTCATAACCGAAGTGCTGGAAAACATAAAACCTTGTCCGATGGCGTTTATAATGTTTTGAAGCTAGCACCTCAACCCAGAATTATTTGAGCCTTATATGTCGGTTTTCTAGGAAACTATATCCATTTAATGTAGTATTTATCGAAATCTGCTGAAGTATGCACCTCCTAGTAAGAAAATAGCTAAAAAAGTCAGGCCCTTGGACGCGTGGAGCACGAGCTTCATGATCTAAATCTCAATTTTCCTAACATACACGCATCAGAGCTTACATCGTTACTAAGCCGAAAAAATTCTAATAGCAAGCTTGAAAGCGGATTATGGAGTGAAAATTTGACTGGTTTCGGAATTACTTTGCTAAAACGAGTTCTGGCCGCTTTTTGCTATTTCCTGGGGCTCTTTCGCGAGTTTTATTTGATTTTGTGATACAGTAGACTTTCGGTGATACTATGGAGCAAAAAGCAAAACAAAGATCATCAAAATGGGGGAGTTTGCGTCGGAGAGGGACCGAACCCGGGGGGTGTGGGGGGCTCGCCTGGGAGGTTAACCCACTATCCGTGGGGAGAGGGCCCGCACCCCCCAGAAGTGCGTTTTTGGTAAGGCCTGACGAGCCGTGTAGCAGTCCAAGCGACAGGTGGATCGGCTGCGCGCACAGAGCGCCATATTAACCCCAGAGAAGGGCCCGAAAAGTTGCCAAATTTTACTACTTCTAAGGCTTATAACTTTTTTTCTAGAAACTTTGATCAATTCTCCACCTCACTATCGATAGAGAAGGATCCCAGCTACATTTTGGTAGCAAAATAAGGACGATCGCGAGGCACAACATTGACTTGAAAGCCGTTTAAATGCACCCAGGGCTGAAAATCTGGAAATTGTGCGAAGCGTTTTTCTTAGAATTTAGACTTAGTATTTCCGCTTTTTTGGTTTAGTTTGGCTGACGGATGATGGCCAATGACAAATTTGCTACTTACAAGGTGCTGGATGTCAAAACGCCGAAGAGCCGAAGGTTTTTTTTTCCAGACCTTCCGGAATCAACCGGTACAACACCCCAATTTGCCTGCAATTGTTTTCAGGGGCAAACCTAAACAGCTTCAGGCAATTCCTGGTAAAAACTAAGTCAAACGAGCCAGAAGTAGCCATAATCCCTCGATTTCTATGTGTAGCGTCAACTTGGGTAAATTCGGCAGTTCTCGTTACTGAGATGTGTATATCAAGGATGTTGATGCTCTTCCGCACCTTTTCGCGAAAAAAGCAAAACGGGATCATGTTTCTTTCCCCGGGAGGGATCGAACCAGCACCCCCCACCTGTCCCTTCGAACGGCGCCTTAGACCACTAGGCCACGCCCCTCCCCACCCCCCATGCGCGCGAAAAGACCCCGTGCGCCGCTTTAAAAGGTGGAAAAACGTAAACTGCGGGGAGGAACGAGACGCTGAAAATCGACCAAAAGTGGTGCAAGTCGGAATCTCGCGTGTTTTCCAGCATATCTTCCAAAAACCGGAAGTAAAAAATTCCCTAATACGCAAATCCCCTCAATTGCACAACAAAAACCCCCAAGCGCGCAAGACATTGCACCTAAATTCAACAAAATCGGATTCCCCCAATAAGGAACTGGTTGCCATGGCGCTCCCCCAGAAGGGCATTGCGGGGATGGGTGAAATGCAATGGCCGGGTGGGTGGGTGGGCCCAGCCGGGTAGAGGGGGCCCCGTGTGCCCTGGGAAAACATGCATTAGGGGCCCTCGTTTTACCCTGATTTGGGTGGTGCCCTTCTCTAGCCTGTTCGAGAAACGGCCGAAGCGTTCAGCCCACACAGACTCACACGCAAAAACACCCCGCGACCCAAAACTCTACCTGCTCCGGGTTGCCGGGGATTTGCTGCTGGGCGTAGGCGAGGAATTGGTGGTAGGTTTGGGCGTTGAGCGCTTCTTGGATTTGCTTCCTGAAAATTTATATTTTGAAGGCCCGGAACATTTAAAAGAACAGCCGATTTTACAAAATTTTTTCATTAAGACCATAAATTAGTTTTTAACGAATTTAAAAATCCATTTTAAGAATTTTTATAAAAAATACAAAAAGACATTTTAATGGCCTTTCTCCACAGAAAGAAACTCCATCAACAAACCTCTGTGCCTCGTAGACCTGGAAATCGACGGGATGCTCGTGGTGGGTGCCGGGCTGCCCGATTTTATGCCCGTTCAGGACGCGCAGCTCGGATTCGTCGGTCCTGAAATAAAAATACTAATTTCGTTCAAAAGTTAACCCTGTAAAACGGGAATTCCTCTAAAATTCCCCGTATAAAAAGTCGACAACGAAAGCCTATAAAAATCCTTCAAATTTAGCCAAATTTTTAGATTTTAAAGAATAAGAAAATACTCAAATAAATTTTTCGTTACGACGTCGCGGTGCGAAATCTGAAAGGGAGCGTGCCATGTTGTTTTCTCTAATTCTCTAGATTTTTCCGATCTTTCTAAAAACATAGGTAAATTTGTTGCGGAAGATTGACAAAAAATCCTCGTCGAGACAAGATATCCAAAAAAAAGTAAAAGAGACATGAACGGCTACAAAAAAACCTTAAACAAGAGCCAGAATTTGAAGGCTTTTCAACTGCTCAAAGAAATTTCAAAAGAAAAATCTTCGTTACAAAGTAGATTGGCGACATCTTAAAGGGAGCGTGCCATGTTGTTTTCTCTCTTCTTTTTTCCCGGTTTTTTTTCCAAAATCATGGATAATGGTTAGGATTTGGCGCGGAGAATCGACGAAAAATCCTGGTCGAAACAGGCTATTCACAAAAAAATGACAAAAGAGACACCACGGGCCTAAAAATAATCCATAAAACGGGGCTGATGGCAAGGCCGGTAAAGCGCAAAGTGCCATCATCATCACCCCTAGGGGCCCATCGCATATCGCCCTAGTCGAGATGGGGTGGCCGCCCCCACTTGTTAGCCCCCGTTGAGGAGGGGATGAATATGGGGGCGCGCACGAGGAGATGGGGGCTCGCTCTCCTCTGTGTATGTAGACCCTAGAGGGCCAATGTGGCCACCACCCTGAAAAGGGACACAAATGGCCGGATGGCCGCACGCCCAGCTTCCCGGTGGCCGCGAATTGATCCGCATAGCATAGCACATAGCACGACACTGCAGACAGACAGACAAACAGACACGACACACGACACTAGAAGAAACACGGCAAAACCTTTTCCGGGTGGTGGTGGGGCCATCAAATATTACCGCTCAGAATTATAGACGACTCTGCCCGGTCTCTATTCTCTACTCGCGCGTACGATTTGGCGGCCGGAAACGTAAGCAGCACTTTTGAAGTCATGTAAAAATTTTTTCACTAGTTTATTAGCATTAATTCTTTTCATAAGTTTAATTTTTGTAGGCACCGTCAATTTCGAAACTAAAACCCTGTCAAAAGCTCAAAAATTTTCGTGCTTGGAAAATCTAGCAGGCTGGCAAAACTAATAATTTGTAATTAGGTCAGTCTGAAGAATCATTTCCTGGGACTAAATATTACGAAAATCCCAGTCAAAATCGTTGAAATAATTTTTTAATAATTTTTAAGATCTTTTACACATTTAAAAAATACTAATACACTAATTAGTTCCGTTGCAATCATAGAAATTATACAAAAACCGTCCGCGAAAGGGCCTGCGTGAAAAGCGGATGTTCCATATCTACAAAAGGCTCGGCTTTTGGTAGCACCCACATTAGGTGACCAATGTCGTTTGAAATATTTTCTGAACAAAATTTAACATAAGTCAAAAAAAGGATAAGCCATGTATTTTGTCAGAAGCTCGATTGTAAGTAGAGTGGCGCTTATTCAAATCAAATCGGCTTCAAATTGATTTGATTTGAAGTGGCAAATTTGAGTGCTAAAAAATCAACTTCAAATCAAATCGATTTGATTTGAATTAGGGGCTGGCCAACTCAAATCAAATCGATTTGATTTGGGATTTGAACAACAGGCTTATCTGGGATGCAAATTGAAAATCGCCATTTCGGAGGTTTTTGGTCTCGCCGTTTCTGCACATTTAGGTTCCTTTACAATGATTCATGGGTGTTTCGATGACCTTTATATAAAATTGAGCCAGACGGTTTTATTTGTCAAATTTAGCCTGCGCTATGGTTTTTCTTTGCAAAAGCTAAAGCGTAAAAACAATAGGAAATGTATAAGGAATCGTTACTTGGGACGCTGGAACAATGCTAAGAGATTATAAGGAAAGAGCGGTGCACGAATTACGAGTTGCGTTGGGTTCATTTCGATGAGATCTTATTCAAATTATTCAAATCGGCTGGATTCGATTTGAACTGGTGGAACTCAAATCAAATCGATTTGATTTGATTTGATCGGCTCCAATTCAAATCAAATCGGCTTGACTTGAATAATTTGAATCTTATTCAAATCTGATTTGAATAAGCGCCACTCTAATTGTAAGCCCTAGAAAACCATAGATTACGCTCTTTCGATACCTCGTGATGAGGGTACATTCGAATAAATATGGTCACACTTTCTGCAGTCCGGGGTGGCCCACGGGAATAGAAAATTGAGGATTAGCGGCCCTATGTGTCGCGAGTCGACTCTAGTGGAGTTCTTAGCCAACCAGCTGTATAATCGGATAAACATGTATTTCGTAAAGTAACGGGATCTCGGGGGAAAACAGTAAGCCCCGACCGAAAATGAGGAAATAGGATAATTACTTCTAGGGTCAGAAAAGGCTGACCAACCCCGCTGGCACGCTCGCTGTCATTTCACAGAGGAAATATCTATCAACAGCTCAAAAAATCCCTCCTTACCGCGGCTTTGGCGCCTCAATCGAGTCGACGACGAATTGCTTGAATGGCGGGCAGACCTAGACAAAAAATTTTTGGCTGAAAAAATGGCACGAACTCGATCAAGCAGGAAGACGAAACCGGACATCGCCTCGTCACGGCCCAGCTGTCCCAGCGCCTGCCAGGCTTTGCTGAAAATGGAGAGATTATGGACTGAATTCTTCCAAAAAATTCCTGCCTAACAAATATAATATCTTGAAAATCCTTGAGCAGCTATTTTATCAGGAGACAAAGATTATATGATATAAACCATAGCATATTATATAAATCATCGAAGTGTAAGTGAGCTAGTTTTTAAATGGACAAGGACATGGTCCCGGGATACGATAGTCCAGGAATCAGACAGAAAGACGGGATTTTAAAAATTACAATTATGACTTGAATGGAAACGGAAGTTCATTTTTTGTGGATTTCTGCAAAAATTAAATGAAAACTATCTAAATTAAATCCTGGTGGCACCAGATACCTCAAGGGTCAGAAAATGTTTAGCTCGGAAATGTTTTCATACCAAAAAAATTGCGCAAACCGGACCCGATTCGATAATCGCAACTTGTGCCCTAATCCACCCACCCGCCGGAAATCACATTTTCCTCCCCTTTCATACAACAGGACGCCAAAAAGGAGCCGAAGAACCAGAAGGAGTTCACACCGGGAAGCGCCCTCTACATCCCCAGGGGAGACAATTTTGCCGGAGACAAAATCCCACCGAATCTCTACAGAACGATGACCGATGAGCCCCCGATGCGGCGGAGAAGCCGAAGAACGACACAGCCGTTCTCCCGGCCTTTAAATGGGATCCCTCGCCAGCGTTCGAGAGAGCAAAATTTGCCGGAAATTAGCAATTTCATGGGCCGGGCACCGGCTTCTCAATTCCCCGCCGGGGCCAATATGAGGGCCGTTAAAATGACGGGTGTACAGCGTTTCAAAGGATCGGCGGCAAGCAGGTGAACCTTTTGGATGCCGACAAGCCATCAAAAAAAATTATGCTGAAGAGTATATAGAGTTCGTTTAAAGGAATTTCGCGGGGACATTTGTGCAAATTTAAATTGGCTTGGAAATATTTAGATGTGATGTTTTGTCGTGCCGTGTTTTCTCAAAAAGGCAAATAAAATGGAGAGGAGCATAGCAGAGATTTTAGAGTCGGGAAGCCGGTCAGTCGACAAAAATAAATAAAACGATGGTCGGAATTTGTAACCCTTTTTTAAAGTGGTTGCAACTCGGAAAGTATGAGCGGGGAGGTCTAAAGTAGGTCTAAATAAATCGATTTAATTTTAATGCTCAACATTCAGACGTAAGGCTAAAGGCAAAAAAATACAAAATCCCCTAAAAAAATTAGAAAACAGTCGAAATTCCGTCTACTCGCCAATTACTTGTCAAAGCTACAGAAAAATTCTGGCGCCCAAGCTCGAATTTTCCCATCAAGGAGTGAAAATTTAGCCTAAAAATATCGAATATCGCCTGAAAGCCACTCCGTGAGTAAAAAAATCAGAAAAGGTCTGAATTTCCAGAAAAAAAAACAGGGAAAGCCGAGGTGTTCCAGCGGGGGCAATGCTTGCCCCCGGCCTCCGTGCGCCCAAAGAAGGATGGGACCCCGGGCCCTGTCCGTGGTTTTGGGCATTGTGTCCGGAGGGAGACGAGCTTCCGGTGGTCGTGCCCGTGGTGTTGGTGGTCGAGCCCGAAGGGGGGAGGCCCAAACGAATATCTGTGGGGCCCATCTGTCATCCCCGAGTGCCGACACCTCGAGCCAGGCCCTTGGCCCCGGTGGCCGAAAATGCACAATGCGCCCAACTGCCCTTCCTTTTACGGCGGAGGACGAGCCCAATAAATCGAGGATGAGCTATGAGCGGCATATCCATTTTTCACGCATCTCGTGTTGATTTATGCGTTCGGCTGCTCAGGCTCTGGTGAGATTGAAAATGGGATCGAGCGTGCCGTGAGATTGAGCAGCAAATTTAGGTCAAAGGCCTATGTTTATGCAATGAATCAGAAATAAATTGAGTGGGGGGTACGGTAACTGATTTCCATTGCTATTGACGTCGTAGAAAATCTGAATTTCCTAAGGTAGCAGCTTCCTATTGTACGCCATCCAAAAAAAGTTGCAATTGCGTGCTTTAAAAACGTACGAATCACCGATCCAGAAGAAACCCTTAACTTAAAGGGGCTCGAAAACTCGTGAATTTCACGGCTAAAAATAAAAGCAGCGGAGGTTCTGCGCATAATCGGGGGGATCCAACTTTTTTTCTTAGAACCTAATTCTCAAATATCAATAGCGGCATCAGCATTTTTAAACTGTTTTTCTTCTATTCCGAAACGTGAAAAATACCAATTTTTTTCAAAAATATAGATTTTCCGACCAAAAATGACCGATTTTTACCAAAATTTCGGATAGTTCAAATTTTTTAAGAGTTTTTAGATATGTATGATTCTAGTATCTATTTGAAATCAAGTTCGGCTTTACTAAAAACACTGCCTATTAGTTATTGTACGTTTCTAGAATACGAAAAACTTCGAAAAGTTTTCATGCGACCGACTCAGAATTTCAATCAAATTTGAAGATATGCGCGATATGATATCAAAAATAGTGTAAAATCGCGTAGACACCCCAGAACGTTCAAAACGGGCCCTCAAAGTGCAGTATGTTCTTGGTTCGAGTAACACTGGTTTCAGAAGCCCTACTATACGTCTCTAGAAGAGGCGGCAACAGGCGCGATAGAGGGGGAGGACGAGGATGTGCCCTCATCCTCAGTGCCGAGCCGCGAGAAAATTCGGTTACGGCCCAAATGGACGGGGTCGCGAAGACGATGGCCGCTGAGAGCCGACGCCGCCAGGGGGTGACGATGGACACAGAAGGCCAACGGGGAGGGGGAGAAGAGGCTCGCGACCGAATTACCAGCCCCTTCTACCCGGGGCCCTAAAAAGCGGATGTTGGGTGAATTGGTGGGTGGCTATAAGGTTGTGGCCCATCTGTGGTATGAGGGAGATGTACGAGCAGACGTTTAGCTATACCGTAGTCGGGGAGGTGGGAATGGGGGGGGGGATGTTGCGGTATAAATCAAAAATTCTGAAAATCGCCTGTGGACAAAAATGACGGAAATGAGCCTAGAGGCCGGATTAAAAAAAATTATGCAAGTAACTTATAGTCTTAAATAAGTTAAAGAAGTCAAGTTATAAAATTAGATAAATGTATAAAAAATATGAAAAATTATTCAAACCAATTTGGCATCTTTTGAATATTAGTGTGTCCGTTAATGTAACTGTTAATTATAATCCCAAATAAAAGTTATAATTTATTTTTGCCCTTTTCCATCTTAAAATACCCTCCGACCACCGAAAAACGATACCCTGATAGCCGGAAAACTAGAGGAAGGGCATTACCAGCGGGGAAGAAGCTACATCCCCCCCCCAAGCAAGCCCCCTCTCGGCAACAAAAAGGTGCAATATGACAGATTGGTGGCGACAGGGCTCTCAGGCGGCCCGGCCGAAGACCCAGCGCTCCCCCTCGCCCAGGGGCAAGGGCCAAAAATGGGTGGATGAGAGGGTGCGCCGGTGGGAAGAAGTCGGCCACGCGGCCCTTACGCTGAATACCTAAACGACATTCTCAACCCAAAGAAAGCTATCCAAATAGGGTAAGCTATAGGGATTCTAGTGACAACATCACTTTAGAGACAGAGAAAACGGAAATTTTTCGGCCGATCCAGATGAGCAATTTTGTCGGTTCTTTCGCATTATCGGGGGGATGAAAATTTTTTTAGAATACAATTGTTAAAATATAAATGGCGGAAGTATTTCTAAACTGTTTTTTACTATTCCTAAGCGTAAAAACTGTACAAATACTTTATTAAATAAAAAATAGATTGTTCGGACAAAATGGCAGTTTTTTTACAAAAATTCCCTCTATAAAAAAGTTGAAAGTTTTCTGATAGTTTTTCCAGTTTAGATCTAGTTTTATTTTACCAACACATCATGAAAATACTTCATATTAAGTCACTAGGCATTTCTAGACTTGCACAAAAAGACCAGTCAGCTATCAAAGTCGCGTCAAACACTGAAGATCAAGACATCTCCAGCTCGGCACCGGCACCGGAAATTACTCTCGCTACAATCTTTCACCCCCGCGAGCCCCCATTCTTTGCACGTACAGCGGGTATTGTCAATGTTTTTTTCCTGGCTGACCCATCGGGCGGATTATCCACACAGAATTGCCGGGCGCCCCGTAATTCAGCGCGCTGTATGGGCCCCCTAAATATTTCGGGCTGGCAACAATGGGGAATTATTGGATTACCGATCAAAAACAAGTTACGGTAGTATACGGTATTTTTCGCATTATGTTCAAAAAGGGCTAATCTTGGGTGTACGTTTTGTTTTTTTGTAGTCTTGATGGCTAAAAGTTAAAATCGGATTTGTTCGGGACAAAAGGAGGTTCGGGTCCGTTAGCGCGGGGGAGGGGGTCTTGTCGCAGATTTTGTTCGGGTTGGCTATAACGCGATACAATGGTGCATGCAAATATACTAAGATTTTTTAAAATGCTGTAGTATAAAATAAAAATGGCAAAAGAATAAAAAATAATGCT